GAGAATTCGATTTTATCTGCACTTCCTAAAACCGAGTGAATGAAAACTAACAATCAATTATTTTGTATATTCAAATTTGCTAAATAAATGTTATTGTCGAAACTAAGAAATCTGAGTGAATTCCATTCCTGAATAACATTGAATTTTGTTATACAGGGTATGTAAAAGAAGTTGAAATTCTTCTAAGATACCCTGTATCTCAAAACCTACAGAGAATAAATTCAAAATAACTCTGTCAACATCTCCTGCTGAGAATCTACCCTCGAATTGTTCCACCACCTTGTATAACTGGGTTCAAATATAATAAAGAAGTCGCAAATTCGAACTCACTTTGAAACAAAATGACCAGAAGAACCATGAAAGCCGACAGCCTTATATTCCGGTCTTGCTATCATCACATGGTACAATCCAAGACCACGTTTGGATAATCCACACCAATTCCATACGAACCTTTCACAGTATCATTCACTCAACAATAATTGTTTTCCAATTTTGTCTGGCGCGAAATTATTCACTCGTCAATTTGAAAATTATCCCTCCACCGGAATTCAAAACTACAGAATGAGATACTTAAATATCGCTTCAGACTGTGTACTTTGTATTTTCTCAGCGGTCACGATTTCTTCATATGAATCATTTTCTCGAGGTTGAATCAGAAATTTGAATATGTCTTACTGAATTATTCTCGAGCAAAGTGCCCCCAGGGAAAAATGTAATTCAAACGAATAGTATTATATTCAGATGTTCACCTATAGGTCCTACTCGCTTCCAAGCTTCCACCCTGAAGTTTCGAATCCAATCTTTTTTCGAATAGAATCGAAGAATATTTATGTTATAAAATTGGTACATCGTTCCTTCACCATTTTTTGAAGTTAGTTAAGATTGGTACCTTCACCATTTTTTTAAGCGAGCAAGTTTTTCCGTTTTCATTCAGATATCTAGGTCTGAAGATGATTTTGTAGCCAAAACAAGCTACCTTCTGAATAATTGTGTTCATTCAATATACTGTGTGGTTAAACAACACGCGAGTTTTCTTTTCATTTTCGTCGTTAATATAAATAAATCTCTCACGAAGATCATAGTTTCGAACAACTATTTTTCATTGTTTACAAAAAAAACCTGCTTTTGGAATCACTTGAATTCAGGTTTTTTTATCACTTCAACAACGACAATTCAAAAAGAAGAACCTGTTCAGCAGGAATGAATTATGTTCACAACTACTGCGGTCCCTTTTATTTTTTGAACTTTATATTTGTACAATTTTTTAATATGTGAACATAATTTATTCCTTCAGAACAGGTGAATCTTCTTTGTCGTTGTTGAGGTGTTTGTCTGACATTTCTCTTTATTTTTCTTACTTTAGTGCTCCTATGTAAAAGCTGATGATGCCGCTTTGCAGCTTTGGAACATGTCCCGTAATTTGATTACGATAAAGTATAGTTTTGATGGAGTAGACTGTAAGAATTTCGACCTGTCCTAATGTAATGTTTTGTTGTGTTACTGTTCCTTGACCAGCGAGTTGAGCTAGTGCGTTGAACATTGAGCTACCTAAGTTTCAGAAATTTGATTGGAACGTGGAATACTCTATTTTGGTGAGTTGAATAAAAAATTTAATGTATGTTTCATATAACAAGAAAACACGGTCCCTTTTAAGGTAGATGGTTGTCGTTTACATTCATCAGAAATTTAAATTAATTGTTTTAATAGGTATCAGCCAACTCAGAATGTTGGAGACATTTTGAGACATAATTCAAGTATTGTTTCATGTCTTCCTCGATGAAATCCATAGGCGCAGTGTGATATAAAGATCGAATAATTTTTAGAGATGATTGACAGCAATTATCCCAGAAGAATTCGGAGTTCAAGTATTGAATTAACATGGCAAAAGAGCTGAATATAAAAGTGGCAGACGCAACCACTAAAAACATCATACTGTAGGTTGGTGACTTTTCACTTTTTATGATGTATTTTCTGTTCAATAAAGTATTAATTAGTCTGATTATTATTTTTTATTTACAATCACAGGAGATAATAGTTATCTTTCAATTACATAAGAGAGACGTAAATGCTATTTGGATTCTGACATCACATTGACCATTCATTGATATAACAATATTATAATTAGTAATACATATAGAAGTGATGTAACATACGATGTAACGTGATGAGGACATTCTGTACAGTTAACTCATTAGATATGAACCTACTTATTACCTATTTTGTTACGTAACTGTTCAACGAAATTATGTAATATTTATGCGTGAGTTACGTAAATCTGTTTTCTGGGTGTATATCGAGAACTACGTGTCTATGGGAATAAGTTTAAAATAACCCTCTTCTTATCTTCTGCAAATTATCTACCCTCGAATTGATCCTCCACCTTGTATAACTTTTAACAATTAGTACATCCAAACTCACTTTGAAACAAAATTATCAGAAGAACCATGAAAGCCGACAGCCTCATATTTCGGTCTCGCTCTTATCACATGTTACAATCCAAGTAAGTACCTAATCGAACACATTTGATGAGTTCACACCGATCCCAAATCGATACAATCACTTCACAGCATCATTCACTCAATAATAATAATTATTATTAATGTTCTCGAATTTCGCAACTGCCATCTCGATTGGCGCGAAGTTATTCACTTGTCAATTCGAAAATTATACGCGCGCGTGCGCCAGATTCAAAATATTCACGCGTTTACAGTCGGTGAGGTTGGCGAAGAACTAACCGATGGGGAAGAACGGAGCTACCAAAGCGAAGTTCGGGCCACCGCGATCGGGCGAATGCGGCGAGAATTCGACGCATGTCTGCACCCAGGGCCGGTCCTGGAAAAGGGCAATGGCGTACCTATGGGGGGATAGGGGGAATAATTATACCCCCCTCCTATGCTGATAGAAAGACACCACTTACCGTACGTACCACGTATCACGTACGTTTTCATATCTAGGTTTCGTGCATCAACATCAGCAGTTGGCACTGATGGAAGTGATTTCCCAGCAAACACAGTTATACATCAAAGAGATATCGCAGCAATGTAACGATTATGACTTGCGATATCGCATTCTATGTCGCATAGACGTCGCTGCGATGTCAGAGGAATATTATTTTATCCCACTCAAGTTGCATCAACGCGACGTGGCTGCGATAAGTTCTCTATGATATTATAATAGCGATACCGTTTTTGCAATTCAATTGCGATATGTTATTTGTGATGGAAAAGCAATGTGTTTTTAGATAGATCATACACCACTGACTTGTATTGACATCTAATACTGATTATGTGTGTTAGTAATGCATCTCCATCAGAATATGAGGTCAGTTACTCGTATTTGTTTCAAAAATTATGTAGTGTTTGTCGGCGAGATGTAAGCAAACCAAGAATAGATTGAAAGCAATGTAGCGAGTTCAGCTTCACTCTGCTGTTGAGTAACGTATATTCATGTTTTCTTTTTCACCGAACAAATATAACAAATAACAAATTTGAAAAATTCTCGAAGATGAGTTTTCTATTAATTGCAACGATGGAACATTCGTAATATCGCAGTGTTGCTTCATCGCGACATCTCAGTGATGTCATGTCGCAGATGTGTTTGCTTCTGTACATCGCAGTGATGGGAGATTCGTAATATCGCGGTGTTCCCTCATCGCGACTTCTCAGAGATGTCATATCGCAGATGTGTTTGCATCTGTACATCGCAGCAATGGAACATAATTGGTGATGTCTCAGACAGATGGAGATGGAGATGGGGAAGCAATGGGGAAGTTGGTCCCGCTTTGAGGACAGCTATTTTTTTTATCCCTTGGAGCGCACGAAAGGGAATCCCTATAATGTTCAGAGAACATCGTGCGTTCCTAGGAAGGATAGGGATAGGAGGTAGGTATTGGTTTATTTTTTAACTTCTCGAGGTTATATATTGTTGGGAATACTTCCTCAGGCAATGAATTCCAAAGCTTAGCCGTTCTATGGATGAAGAAGTTTTGATAAAGTGCTGTTCGACATCTTTCGAGGTTGACAACGAAAGGGTGTGCTGACTGGACTTGTCTAGTTCGTCTGACTGTTATTGCTAGTGAAGGGATGATAGCAGAGATTTCTGAAGAACATTTCCCGTGGAAGTATCGATAAAAAAGTGAAAGGTGTTCCAATGATGTCAAAGAGTGAGTGAGTGTGGCGTCACCCACCAGGCGGATGGCTCTTCTCTGGATGGAATCTAACAGCATCAGCGTATGTTTTGGTGCTCTATCCTTCATATATGAGTAGATACAAGGGGAAAACATTTTTTCCTCTCTCAACCTAGCTCCACTACTCTATTCATTTGTTCGTTCCATCTACAGGATGATGGTCAAAGTCATGATGGAAGTAAGATATGGTCGTTGATTGATATATTACGCTTACGCTGGGCTGCGCTGGGTAAGCGTAATGCATAATGTATCAATCGACGATATGGTGTAATTAATGATGCGCTTTTGTTTCATACTCGACCTCTCGCCATCCTCTCGCTCGACACCGACACAGCGAGAGCATTGGTTCCGTCGATCTTCTAATAGATGGCGACATTGCACAATTATAACATATGTCAGTTTTGAAATTGTCGCAGATTTTTGGAATTAGGAGTTGAATAATCCCACTGTTACATATGTTCCGCGTACCTAAAATGCCATTTGCCATTTTATTTTCACTCGTCACAGCAGCAAAAGCAGCATCACCATCTAGCCGGAAAATGTAGAATCAACGTCTCGCTCGTTGTGACTTAGAGAAATCATAGTAGGCGGTCGAGTGCTTTTTCTGAAATTTTCATACGTAATAATAGCCGAATATCATTAGGGTAACTTATCTCTGATGCAGGTAATCTCGCTTCTGGCTATGTACTTAAAGAGCAATGATTGTGATTCTCTTGTGATTAGATCGACGGAATTGACTTTTGACATGTTCACCGATATTGACACATTGACGGCTCAAGGACGTCTCCGTCAATGAAGTCATGAAGTCAAGTCCAAGTCAAAGACGAAAAACAACATCAACAAAACGAGATGTTTGGAGCTGGAGCCGTATCAGGAAACGATGGAATATCAAATGATATCAGTAAATTGCAGAATCAGTTGACACTTGCCAGAAGAGAAATACACAATTTAAGGTAAATCATTATTCATACCTATTAATAATTTAGGCATTTTTTGTATACTTAAAAAGTTTTGCAGGCAGCAGTTGACTTCTCTCAACCATTGTCACAAAAAGGAATGTGAGTTTATTTATGAGAAGCTAAAGAATTGGCAGTGTTCCAGTTGCAAATCAAATCAGAGTTCCCATGAATCCTCAGAACCCCCAACAACTTCTGTATCAAACCATGATTTTCAATCAAAATATATTGGAACAGTCAACACAAACTTTCCTGAAAAGAGGGGTACACCAAGGCAGCCTGGTATATGTGGAAACATGAATGCCAAACTAACATTAGACAGTAAGGTATTCACAAATCCAGGACATTCATTGGAAGGTTTGCAAGAATTTTCACATATGTGGATCCTGTTTCATTTCCACAAAAATGATATTACCCATGTTAGAGCAAAAGTAGCCCCACCAAGACTGAATGGGATCAGAACTGGAGTATTTGCAACTAGATCTCCACATAGACCATGCCCTATAGGGTTGTCATTAGTAAAAATTGATAGGATCATGGATAGCACTATATATTTCAGGTTAGCTGCCATACGTAATAGCAAATTTACATTGAAACTAAGAAATGTCTTTTTAGTGGTGTAGATATGGTTGATAAAACCCCTGTTCTTGACATCAAGCCATACATACCTCAATATGACAATCCAGTTTGTTTTAATATGACCACTGCTGCTGATAATGATGATCTGTCTGATTCCTTCTCAGAATCCCTCAATACTTCTAGAAACATTAACATAACTGCAGGTGAAGCTACTGCTTCTGATTCTACAGCTAACAATACCAGTAGAATATTAGATGGAGAAGAGATCCAACATAGAGATCAAGTTGTTGGTGCATCTGTTAGTGATCATGAAAATTCTAGAATGGAAGAGTCATTTTATATGAGGTATCTCCATCAGACATGTTGCCAATTAGGTATGTTTACTGTTGTATTTGTAGGTCTAGTTCAAGAATAGGAGAAAGAGAAGCTCCTGATGGTGAAGAAGAGGAATCACTACAAAATCCACAAGCATCTCTTCCAGCTGCCCCAACTCCTGAAATACAAGTCAGAGTGCCTCCTTGGATTGATCAACCTGTAGTGCCCAGGTTGACAGTCTTGTTCAGAGATAGGGCACTCATGCAACTGAATCAGCTAGGTCCTGAGGTGAGTAGTGTGAAAAAAGCAGGCAAGTTTTCATCTTGCATCAAGTTAACAGATGAAATGAAAACTATAAAAATTAATTGGAGATAAATGCTGACTTACCTTAAGAACACAACATAAGAAAGAGAAACAAATGCTTTGCCTTAATTTTTCAGGGTAAATACATGTTTAATTGTATGAAAGGTTTATTGTTATGTCAAACAATCAAGAATCAAGGTAGTGAAAAAAACACAAGTGCTTGCTCAAGGGATTTTTTCTACTCTACTTGGTTTGAGATTTTTTGCCAAATGACAATAAAATTTGAATACCATTTGAAATTTGTTGGTCAATGAAAACATTTCTCCAATGTATTTTAGGGAGATTAATACACAACTACAGTATGAATACAACTTGGTTTGAAAAAGAAAGGAAGTTGTGTTGAGAGAACTGGAAAATTATCTGAAGGTAGTGACATGTTGTCAAAGTATTGATTTGTGTTGATTGAAAGCAAGGTAGGTATATTTATAGGTTATTGGGAAAGCTAGCTTTTTCATCACTTCAAATGCCTGGAGATTGTTTGCTTTTAGGAAATTTTAATCTACAGAAAATTTGTTGAAATAAAAAAAATCCTTGAGTGATTTTTTGAATAAATTTCTTCCCATGTTTTGTTGAGTGTTGCAGAATAATAGTCTTCCTTCAATTGATATATGATTTGAAGTTTTGTAATTATTTTTTCATTATACTTCTTTGAAGTCACCTTATTTTCAACTACATAATATATTAGTAATATTGCAAGATGGGCTAGCATAGGGAAACAGCACATGAAAAAACTTTGAGAATAACCATGGAAATGAATCATACATGCCAAACACTGTATTGTCAGCATTGTTGATTCTCTAGCAATCCAATTTTTGCCAACAACATGAACTCAGAAGAAAATCCCGAAATTCCCCATAATATCCTAGAGCAAGAGGCATAAGTGACAGTGAATTTATTACCAGTAATACCCAGATCTAGTATTTACAAGTTTTTTCATTCCTACAACTGTAAAAATAAAAATATTCCAAGTTTCTTTTGTACCCTCTTGAGGAAATATTTTATCATTGTTTTTATTTTCAAGAAAGTGTTAATGAAAAATATGTTCATTACACGTCCAGAAATGATTTTCCTGTGCTTGCATGACTTCCAGTGTTATAAGCGCACGGAAAAATCCCTCTATTTCCAGACTGGTAATGAAATATACTTTTCTTATAAATATGTTTTTCTTGTTTTTTTTTTTTATCTTTTGGTATTCCAATGTATGAGGAAGAACTTAAAAAAAATCCTAAAATTGAAAAATCTACATTTTGAATACCCTATATCTCTGTAATCATTTCTGCTTGACCCCAAGTATGATGCATTGATGAAATCAGCTCCTCGGGAAGAATCTAAAAATGCAATAAAATACAGGGTGTTCCATTTGAAATAACAAAGTTGCTAGTTGTTTCTGATATAAGTGGCAACATTGTATTGATGAAAACCTATTAGACGAATAGAGAATGTTCAATTATCAAAGCATCCAGATTTTCAGAATGTTCTGTTTTTTCGTTCTCCAGATACTTCTAATAGGCCATCCACCGTGACCCACCCTGAATATACACTGTTGATGGCTTTTGTTGTGCTATAGTTCCGAAAAATGAGTCAATAATACCGTCTCCGAGAAAGAACTGCAAGTCCTTTTATCTTCCATTGGACTTCGCGGTTACGTATATTACTAAACAACCATTGAATTCGCAATTTTTTGAAATAATCATCAATCACAGAATTAGACTGACAGAAGTGACATCAGATATTTGATTACTTCAAAAGAATGATAAAGATGCCTACAACGCCTTTCTTCTATCACAGAAAAAAATAGTGTATTATGCACGTGAAAAATATTAGATTTTAGCTCACGGATTTTTGTCTCCCTCCGCTAAGCGTCGGGAGACAACACAACCTGGAGCTAAAATCTACAACTTTTTTCCCTTGTACAATAAATAACTATTTTGTCTTGTCCGTTTTTTTGTCATTTCGAGAATTGTTTATACCCTTGTGTATATTCATCTCCAGGGGCGTCCGGAGGGGAAGGCAAGGGGGGTGCGCTCGCCACCCCCCCCCCCCCCCATTGCGCCTGGTCTTCACTCATCAGATACTTTCTAAACAAGATACATTTGCATTATTCAATTCCTATTCTGATTAGCGCTTATTATAGTGACTTTCTGAGACTTTGTTTAATTAGTATTCATCGACATCTTATAGATATATTATAAAGAGTTAATTTTATCGACGAAGTTATTGATAAATTTGCCCAAGACTCTATAAGAATGCCATTTTTGTTAGAAGAAGATTATGATTTTCATCACGTGCAATTTTTGTAATTTTGGCTATATTCCATGATTTATGTAGAATGATAGTAGATTATATATCGAGAGAGTAAAGTGCATGATTTTTCCAGAGGTGGTTTTGTAGCCAGAGGGAATGCACTGGGGGAAGAAAGAACTCACTTCCGAGGTTTATATACCATTTTTGCACGACTCGACGATCTTAATTGAAAGAATCCTATGATAAAATCAATTATTGTCAATATGATAATGACAATCTCAACACAATAATCACAAAATGAAGTTTGATTATCATGACTACCGATAAAGAAGAGTAGCCCTATTGCTTTTTGTGGACAATGGAAAAGTGTGGGAGCATATTTTCTTAATTGCTTTCCAAGATTTTTTCAATGAATATTGCAGTAATTTGTGGAAAAACTATTGAAGAAGCTGCTGCAAACATAGTGGTAGATGTATTGCCAGAAAAATCTCGGAACATTTTTTAGCCTAGAGAGTGCCTACTTTGTATACCCTGTATTCCCGCTTTTGTCGGTGTAAAATCGCTTATAGGTCGTGCAAAAACATTTTTTTTAATATGTTCTGAATAATGTACATTATTTATTGTGACTTGCCCCACCCTGAGATTATTTCTGCGGACGCCCCTGTTCATCTCCATTCTCAAATGAAGCGGAGCATGAGAGAGAGAGAGAGAGAGAGAGAGGAGCCGACAGCTAGAATAGGATTTCAACAACTCTTATTATTCACAGGGTGAAGAGAAAAAATCCGCCATAACAAATGTACTTAGAGAAGATCCAAGATCTGTGTATTTGAGAGAACGTTGGGGTAGTCACTGCTACGTGTTCAGGATAGCCGAGTTGTACGTTTCCTGCAAATTCAATGACAGTGAACAGTCTGTCAGCGTCTTTCAAGTATTCCAGAATGAAGCTCCACCTGAAGGTGAAGAATAAATTGATCTCATCTGACCAATAATATGGCCATTATTGGTACTAATTCGTATAAGGTAAATCCGTACAAGATATGGAAAACATGTTCCTAGATAAGAGTGAAGTAATTTGAAACATTTTTGTATTTTTATTTATTTATGTATTTTTTAAATTTCGGGTTACGTTTACTGTGGGTAAACAATGCAATACTTCATTAATAATTATTTGTGTTATGTCTTTATGGGTATAATAAAATTGTATACATGGATTCATAGTATCATGGAACTATTTCATTCCATGCAAACAAATGGTTGGTGTACAGTGTGAGCAAAACTCGGATGTCTCAGCTCTGAGGAAAAATGAAAAAATCTTGAAAATTAATAGCACATTTCAAACCAGATTGGCATATTTCAACATATTTGGAAACTGAAGTAATGACGGTATCGATTTTTTTTTCCTAGAAACACCTATACAGGGTGATTCAAAATTCGATGCAAATATTTTGAGGATGTATTGTTGGGATCAAAATGAGACTTTTTCTCCATAAAAATATGTGTCCTAAAATGCACCCCATCTGGGCCAATAAAAGTGTGAACCCTCTCCAATTCCCCCAAATCTGGGATCTGGATCTAGGACACTTGTATATATAAATAAAAGGTCTTATACAATATTCCCTTAAAATATTAACATCGAATTTTGAATCACCCTGTATTATGGCATATTTGTAGGAGCCCACTTTATTGTGAGAAAACATTCTTCTTCTGGTGAACAATTTTGTTGAAAAAGTTATCAACAAAAATTCGCTATAGGTACTCATGATTTGACTTCAGATTGTTTCAATAATTTTTCCTTTTCTTATAATAGATCTCAGACATCCTGTTTTCATGTTTTTAGACAATTTTCAATCAAACTTCAAGTCCTTGGCAAAAATATAGTTCCGGAAAAAAACATTTATCTACTAGTGAAATGCAACATTCTTCCCGCAAATGTTGTAATTGTAACACTGAATGAAACACATTTTTAAGGTAATATGATGTATTTACAATAAATATGAGTCCTATATACATGCATTCCAATTGGTTAAAAAACAAATTAAATACTAATACATACTTGGAAGGTCACAATAATTGGGCGTCTTTGAAATTCCATTAATAAAATTGCCCAATTGCACATAAAATGGAATGTTATAGATATAAAAGGGTAAATTTGAAATTTAATAACTATGAGGACGAAACTTTGAAAAAACATTCATCAAAGCTAACAAACAGATAAACAAAATATTTGGAAAACTTCATAACAAATCAAGTTTTCCATGAAATCATAATATATTTATTTACAATAGAATGAATAAATAGAATTTATAATTTTCATCAAAACATAACCTATTTCACTCTCCATTCAAGAAGGTACTCTTTCAAGATGTCTGGAGAATTTCAAGGCAAGATCACATCCCTCCCAAAAGACATGTAAATTTAGGAAAATTGAGTATCAGTCAACAAATATTTATTGCCAATAGTATATTTTTCCATTTATGCTATGGATGATGAATCAAAATGAAATAATGGCTTAATAGAAAAAAAAAGTCAACCAGTCATATTTCTCCGGCTGTCATCACACTAGCTATTTAGTATAGAGGCGGTATAATAGCTTTACTGCCAATATGTACAGGGTGGCCCACTGGCCCATCGAAAACTTGACATCGGGGTTTTGGGCGATGATATCGCAGATATCGAAAAACCCTCAGACAGGTCGATTTTTGTTTCGTGGGGGAATTTTTTTTCTCCTACATGCACTACCGTCACTGCAACACTCGAGCTGTGGGGTGAACAACCCCTAAAATTTGAATAGGGAATAATGGTGGAGTGGCACATCTTTTGAAAGCCTGTTAAGTTCTCTATCCAACGGCGTCCCGATTTTGAAGTTGGGATGAACCGTTTGGGAAAATATAAATTCAGGAATAAACCTGTACGTTAAGAGCTTACTTGTACGTCTCTGAAACACTCATTTGCAAGTTTTTGCAATCTATCATTTATTTGCAACGATACTGTGGAAGGTTTTGCTCAGTTTTTTTCGCGGTACCCATGAAAATATTGTAGTAAAATAGAACAAACAGATAGAGCATGCAGTTTTTGGTTTTCACGTGTGTACTACAAGTGAGTTTCATTCGTGTGTGGTATCGTACGTCTAAATTAAAACGAAACAATGGTGTATACAGTGGCAGAGGAGTTGATTGAACTGTATTATGTAAACAATAGATGTGCGAAAAGGGCTGCTGAACGGTTCAATCAACAATATGATAGGACTGTGTCGCGGCAGTATGTGTCTGAATTAGTATCAAAATTCCGAGAAATCGAACCGCTAGTAAGAAATGAGGCGACAACAGTGGTAATTTTGGGCCATGTTGTAGTTAACCATACATTGAATACAAGACAGCTAGCAACTGTTTCCGGTATCTCAAGAACTAGCATTCAGCGTATTTTAAAACTACATAAATTCCATCCTTACAAAATCAAATTAACACAAGAACTGAATGAAGATGATTTTGACCGACGTTTACAATTCTGTGAAGTACTAAGTGAGCAGGCGATTGCAAATCCTCAGTGTTTGTTCAACATTTGTTTTAGTGATGAATGTTCGTTTTTTTTTTCAAATGGCATAGTTAATCGCCATAATTGTCGATATTGGGCTTATTCTAATCCCCATATATTTCAAATTAAATGTAAGGGCTGGTATTTTTGGGGATCGTATCGTGGGCCCTTTCCTCTTAGAAGGCAATCTAACAGGGAAAATGTATCTGGAACTGCTTGAAGACACAATTGATCCAATGTTAACGAATATTATTGAAAATGACCATCATTATCTGGAAGATCAGTTGATATTTCAACAAGATGGTGCTCCTCCGCATTATGCTATGCCTGTTCGGCGATATTTAGATCATTGGATTGGTAGGCGAGGTTCTATTGAATGGCCCCCACGATCACCAGACCTGTCTCCCTTATATTTCTTTCTGTGGAGTCATTTGAAAAGCAGAATTTATAGTACACCACCAGCTTCACTAGCAGATTTACGGAAACGATTCACAGAAGAATGTCGCCAAATCACCCCAGACATGCTCCAAAATGTTCGAGAACGTTTTCAACAAAATCTGTATCATTGCATGGAAGTTGGAGGTGCGCAATGAATTTTACTCTTAACTTAATTATGGCTCATTCTGGTTGAAAAACTGACGACCGTTGTTTCGAGAATTCAACGGGTTTTCAAACGATGTGCCACTCGACTCCTATTCCCTATTCAAATTTCAAGGGTTTTTCACCCCCCTGCTCAAGGGTTGACGTGACGGTGCTGCATGTAAGAGGGCACAATGTCCCCCTCGAAACTAAAATCAACCTGTCCGAGCGTTTTTCCAGATCTACGATATTAGTCCCCAAAACCCTCATGTCAAGTTTTCGATGGGCTACCCTGTATACGGACAGTGAAGTATCAGATGATTTGCCTATATGTCTCTATGCCTAGTTGAATCAACTATCTCCTCTACCTGGTTAGGAATAAGCATTATTGCATGATTTAAATACGAGGAATCAAAATTATATAAAGGCAGTGATGAAGATCTCTCAAGTGCCTAGGAACCAGCAATTGCACTGTAACCACAATATATCTCTACGACCCTGTACTAAAAGTTCAACAAAATTGATAATGGGACAGTGATATTGTTTGTTTATGCAACTTGACGATGATAATACATGGTGGGTCACTTTCAAGATCCAAGTAAGGATGTAAGAAAGGTTATTGAAAAACAGACATTTATGGAAAATTACGTCAAGACTCTCTACAACAGGAAACTATTCACAAATATATCCATTCAGCGATGAAAATAAAAAGAAACTCTTATCCTGATTTAATGACTTTCTTCATGCTTTCCTGTGCAGGCAGTATTTTTATTCTTTCATCGCTGGTGAACTTTTTGATTCAGAGTTCCTATATTTCATAACTTGAAAGATAGACTATAGGAGACTAACTACGTCAAGTTCGACAAAATGACTACCTCGATTTCTTCAACAATTTGAGTACCTGCTGTTGACTATTGAATGCGTCATTTGTAGCTTAAGTAATGTTGAATGATGATTATATTGAAGAGATGAAGAATAAATAGATCTTATAAAAATATTCCTTTCAAGCTACAGACAATAACATGAAGAGACAAAAATATAGTAGGCCTTTTTTATATATAAATTTAAAATTTAGTTTCCGAACAAAACTACAAATATACAGAGCAAGTGATGATATGATGAAATAATGAAAATTGCATTGCATTCGTCACACAGAATGGTTTGTTTCTGTACTATTTCTAATTTTGCCTGGAAATAAGTCTATTAACAGTAACAACAGTGTATAAGTAGGAAAGACATTCCGTAATTGGAAAAATATCAAAATGGAAAGAAAGTACTGATGATTCTAGGAACAAATTAAAAATGGTTTCCCTCGAAAATATTTTTCATGTCTCATTTTCTCTCATAGAAAATAGCAACTTCAAATATCAAGACCATTATTGAATGTTTCTATATTTTCTTATAAGACATATTCATGAGTGATGGAACAATTTTGGCATCCTGTATAGAGTCAGCTTATGTATCGAATAATTGTCGGATCGACGATTGATCTAGATTCTACCCTAGGAAACATGAAAATTATCAAATTTTTGAAATAAAAGAATCTTCCATCTATCCGTACTTTCTTTCCATGATCAAGAAATATCATAATTTTAACATATTTATTCATTAGCAACATGTATAGGTAGATGCTAACAGTCTAGATTCAAAAGAGGTGAAATAATATATTTCTAGAATATTGTATTGTCACAAGTTTTGAGTATCTCCAAAAATACTGATTGGAACGTAATTCGCGGGAAGACTAAACACAATAGTTATTACGAGAAAAATGCTAGATAAAAATTGGAGAACATTTCAGATCATATCCGTAAAATTATCAAGTAATTAGGATAATTAAAAATAGCCAATTGTTCGAATATCTACATACTTAGGATACAAAAATATATAAAAATAAATAAATACAGTTAACTCAACATGGTGGGTACGAATGGATTACAAAAAATCATTAATTGCAGATATAACAGTGCTATAGAAGGAAGTATATCTCGAATATTCGTTGAAAGCATCAAACATTTGAAGGTTGTAACCATTACAACATTGATATCATTCAACATATACAGGATGTTGATCAAGTACAAACTTCAAAGGGTGAATCTTTAATTTCAACGTGAACATGGATCCACAATGGCTTGGATCTTGAGATACAGGGCATCCAAAATAATTGTTCAAAAAATTGGAATACTGCGGAAGTATTGATGATGAGAAACTCAAAATATTTACTTAGTTTGTTGTTTGAAGTTAGAGGACGCCACATGTCATTCTTGAAAAGACAGATTTCTTCTTTATTGTACCAATATCAACAGAGAGTGAGAATAAATTGAAAATACAACAGATTTTTGCCAGGAAGTTTGAAAAAAGATCTCTATTGTTTTATACAGGGTGGTCTAACGAAAACTACACCACGATTTTAGGGCTTCAAAGTCAAAAGTCCACTATGAAAAACAGAATTTCCCTGTATCATTGTAATAAATATTCGACATAACATCCTTTGAAAAACTAATATTACAAATATTAAAATTCACCCACCTGTCGAAGTCAGATTAAAAACCACCCATAAATTCACACCAGCTTCTGAATGTGAATTCACATCGCCCTCAAGTGAAACTACATCCAAACACTCGAAGGTCTGTCCACAAATATGGGAAAATTTTACAAAATTTGAAAATAAGCTTACGCTTTCTAGCAACATTTTTGTAATCACAAAAGTATACATATACAGTGTGATATCTCCTATTTTCACTTCATTATTATTATTATTATCATTGATTAACTGGATCAGTTTCTGAATGTATTCGATAATGATGCAATATACAAGTCTCGAATATATCCTCGTTCATGGCTAACGCACGATATTTGTAGAAGCCAACACAGAAAATTGTTTTTCTGGGGTCAAAAAAGTGAAGATTATGAAGTGAAAATAGGAGATATCATACTGTATATACAGGGTGATTCAGGTTTTAAGGCACAAACTGAAATGGGAGATAGATCTCATCATTTTAATCAAAGACGTTTATATAAACATGAGTCCGATCTCGTTCAGTAGCGGAGTTTGATTATTGTTTTCTATTAATCGAAATATCTCGCTCACTTTTCAAGATATTTTGAAATTTGGTGTGGTCAATACTTCCTAGAAGATTGTCATTTCAAGCCGTTTAGAGATTTTTAAAATCTACAGGGTGATACGTTTTTGGGGGTAGAGGATTCTTCATCCCCCCAAATTTTTTCGTAGTTCAACTAAGAGGCTTTTTCGCTCTTCAAATTTTTTTCGAGAAACGAACCGTTTTCTAGATAAATAAGCATATACGTTCTCTATACGTTAATTTTGCTTGTGATTCGCTTAAATTTTATTCTTTGACAAAATTCGTTGAAAATGCAATGAAATGTACTCACTAAAATTGCAATCACGAGTCCAATCTGGATCAGTAACGGGGATAAGGAGGTTTTTTTTTTCAGTTAAATAAAATTTAAGCAACATGTTTTAAAACGTATATGCTTAATTATCTCAAAAACGGTTCGTTTCTCGAGCAAAATTGAAGAGCAAAAAGAGCCTCTATATTGAACGATCCACACAATTTGATGACTGAAAGATGCCAGAGGCGTACTACGAAAAAGTTTGGGGGGAATAAAGAAGCCTCTACACCCAAAAACGTATCACCCTGTAGATTTTGAAAATCTTTAAATGGCTTGAAATGATGATCTACAAGGAAGTATTGACCACACCAAATTTCAAAATGATATCTTGAAAAGTGAGCGAGATATTTCAATTAATAGAAAAAAATAATTAAACTTTGTTCCGCTGTAGCTCCGCTACTGAATGAGATCGAACTAATGTTTATATGAACTTTTTTGATTAAAATGATGAGATCTATCTCCCATTTTAGTTTGTGCCTGAAACCTGAATCACCCTGTTTATACAGTTTTGTGATCACAAAGAATGACGGATTCCGAAAAAAAGATAAAAAACAGGAAGTTCCATTTAAAAAAAGTCAATTTGTGGTATGTCATGCTTTCAGGTATCACCCTGTAAAACTTCTGATAAGAGCTGTGGAAAGGCTTTATTGCGGCATTCAACTTCCGTTTGTTTTTCTTGATGAAATTAAATATTGTAAATATAGGGGTAGGCCTTCTCCATGGATAACCCTGTACTTTTATTGGTTTTTCGAAGATTTGTCAGTTAACAAGTAAAACAGTTTCATGATTTTGAAGCAATTTCACTATTTTTCATCGCGAATATAAACAGTTTTTTCATACATACAGGTTGTTTATCGAATCGTTACCTATAGGAGTATTAAGAAAGGATGCCATTTAGCAACATCACAGTCACGGGGAGATGCGGAGGCCCACGCTCACCGTTAGACAGTTGGGCGCATAATCAATTTCAGTTTCAAATATTCCTAACGGCGACGTACGATAGCCGAATCATGTTGCCATTCACATGTAACGATTCGATAAACAACATGTACATGTATTTTGTACATGTATTATCTAGGAATCATAATACTCAGTGGACCACCGAAAACGAAAGAGTTCGAATAACTTGTTCATTTGAAATAACAGTGATGTTTACTTCATGTGGGGGCCACCTTTATATTCAACCCTCAACCAGGCCCGGATTACCAAGGCCAACCTAGGCCATGGACTTGGGCGCACCTGAAGAAGACGATCATGTGACTGCCGCCATCTCGCTATCTTTTTCAATGTTTTTTTCATCATTTATATCTGCTATCTGCTTACTTGAATTGCAAGTAAATGTTTTTCGTAATCACTGTTATTACGTGATTGATACGAATTTTATTCTTGGAAAATAGTTGTGTGTTGATAATTCAAACAACCACAAAGAAGCTCTAAAACGTTATTCAAGTATCTGGCGAATCTTCAAGGGGCGTCTATTTGGGTGATTCTGAGACGAGAAGTTCATATAAAAATAGGTCATAAAATGCTTCCTTTGATGATGACAAAATTTTGTCTGGTTGGTGACTGAAAAAGTCCCGAAATTTCAAAATAATAATCATTGAGGTTATTGGGTAATTCCAATGGGTGTCTTGAGAGTCAAGACAGTTGTATTTTCAATTGTTTAATCTGATACAAGTATGAACTCGGAAAACACTATGACGTAGGTACCTTATTTACCATGAATATCGAACTGCGACGCCACTGGAATTGAATTGGAATTTGGATTTTTGAGTAATCAATAAAAAAACGATTTTTTATTGAAACTTTAAAAACGAAGCATTCCTGGACCAATGTTTATTTCAACTTTTCGTCTTAGAATCACCCAAGTAATCACCCCTTGAAGTTTGGGCAGAGAATTATATAAAACCCTGTATATGCCAAAAACATTCCACGCTCCCCATACCTACTGGAAGAGGGAGCAATCAAGAACTTTGGCCTAGGACATAAATAGCTGGTAATCCGGTCCTGTCCTCATCTGTCCTATATCAATAGGATTCAAAAATTGCGCATAATATGAAGGTAATTTGAAGTAATTTATATGTAGAACTTCTGTAAAATTTTTTCGAACTTATATTTGTTTTCGATTTTTTTTTTCATCATCAAGATATGATGCTACTCATCAGTCACATCTTTGTCTTTAATAATGTTGGTAGGTACTTACCAAGTTTGAATTCTTTGAGGATATTAAAACAATCATGAACTACGTTTCAAATGGACCTAAATTAACTTGAAACAAACAAAACAAACTTCTTCATCCTTGTTTGCCCTGTAATACCTGTGTCGAATCAGTTGAGTAAAATTTATCCACCTATTTTGTGGCGTAACAAGATGTAACTAGACGTCAAAACTCCAGTATTTTCGAACAACAACCACAGAGTAGAACAAACACAATCTCATAAATTTTGAACGCACCCCTGACCGTAGTGAAAGGTAGGAGAGAAGTGACATTTAATAGTTGAGGATATGATGAAAGTATGCTTCCCAAGGCTTAGAAATCGTATTACTACTTCAGCGTTACCTCAAACAAATAGTCTCCTGGAAATATTTCAGTCTGTTTCGTATTCGACGCTCCATCCCGTATATGTCCATATTCACGGACAAACGGTACGATGTGAATTCACGCTTACCACTTTAAAACTCATACCTTGGTGTGAATCAGCGAGTAAATGAAATGCTTCGTCCTGCTCGAAAGCCGTCAGAAGTATATGACCTCCTCCTCGGCCTGCTGCTGCTGTTGCTGCTCGTTGCGCACCTTGAACATAGATGTATAGAAATTCAAATGTTGTCAACACTTTCTATTGGATAGATTTTCGAAATCTCTCGATATCGCCTGCTTTGTAAAAATGGCGGGACTTGGGAGAATCTTGGTGTAGTGTGATTGCCATATGACAACACTGTAAGGGTTTATGTGTTCATGCCCGTGACATGACAAGTGACGGACGAGGTGCCCGCGCGTTGATCTTATCTCGATATGATATGTCGTATGGTCGAAGCATTTAGAGAGTCCAATAAATGATGTATAATAAATTAAACTCAATAATTAATATCGTCAATATCCTTTGTAAAAAATAATGTGTACAAAGTGTAAAAAATATACTTGTAAGTAGTTGTGCTGGGTTTATGTATAAAACAATCCCAACCACACACACAACATAAGACATTACATTTGGTAAATTCTCAAAGTTCAGAACAAATTTACAGGCATCAGAACAGATTCATTTGACATTATATTTTCATTTTCACAATTTTCAGTTTACACGAAAATGACCGACCCTGAAGGCAAAACATTGACATACAACCTCACTTTTCTCATATGTTTACAGAAAATTGAAATAGTTTTTCACAATTAATTTGGCATACGAACCGTGTCTCTCTGCTATTCATTAATTCAAGAATGCCATCACATTGTGCTTTCCAAAATGCACAAAAAATGCAGCGAGAGACGAAGTAATCCGATTTTTCAGGTTTGTACATTATGATTTAAAAGTACTATAGTCACTCACATGTACACTTCATTTTGAAATTTTGTCATTTCACATTGGAATTCTTTCTGCAATAGGAGCTAAAAGAAATACTCGTGAAGTTTCTAAAAGAATGCAAGAAGAATAGAAGATTGGATTCATGCAATCAAACGGGAGGACTGGTCTGACATGCTGACGAAATATGATCGTATGTGTTGTAGATACTTTAACTATATAAGAAGTAGATTCTATTGCAGAAGTGGCAATGGGAATTCTAATGAGAAATGACAGAATTTCATAATGAAAGTTATGTGAGATTACTATTTACCCATAGTGGAAGGAGAAGATGGTGTGCCTACGCGCATATTATGTGACGTCATCTGGGATACCAATATCAGCTGCTAGTCACAGACAGATACCTTTGCCATGAGCGTGCGCAATGAATTCAATCATGTTCATTGAAATTTCTATGAGTTTCTCGATCTGTTTAGAAATAATTCAATTTATATAAACAGGTACTTATTCCTTCGATTTTACTATTTCATTGATTCTGGAAATTGTGATCTTGAGGTAATTCGCAATCGCAAATAGCGAATACATACGAATTATCATGCATTGCCAATCCCATCTGAATGATCCATTACTGTGTCGATTCTGACAGATTAAAATTCAGCAGTTAACGACGTTGACGTTGCTTCTGCTCCGACATCGACAACAGGAGCATCAATTTTTGCCGTTTTGTTATTCAAATCTTTGCTGCAATTTATATTTTGTGAGAAATTAAGAGTTTTGAATTCATTTTCAATAATTTCTGACTTGATATTCGACGGAAGATATTCTGTTGGAATGACATCTTGTTTCAATTATTTGTGATTTTTTGGAGGTGTAAGTCAAGAACCGTACTTTTGCAGTTGTTTGGGAACATTTTGCATGGAAATGTTTTGAAGAAATACGTGCTGTAATATGAATGTGATGATAATATGATAGGTGAATACTTTGGAATGAGGATATAAGGAATATAAGGTAGGTACCATTATTTGAGTTTATATTCTGTCGGCAGCAGGCTCCCATCGTTTCATTAGGTCTCCATTCTTGGAAAAGCATCAGAAAAATATGTTAGTTGGAATTTCCATAACCAGAAACGAAACAACTAGGCATTTCGAAATTATTTCATTCAATTTCAGTACTTATATAATATCTGAAGTTCGAGACCTCAATCACGAAAACAAATAATAACAATGAGTTATATCCCTGCTGACGTCATGCGCAGAACAAGACAAGTTTGAGCTTTCTGTTGAGCACACCATCTTCTCCTTCCACTATGCTATAATCATATTTCTTCGTCTCTTGCTGCATTTTTTTGTGCATTGTGCAACAACAGTGAATTGATGAATAGCCCAAAAAACACGATTCGTATGCCAAAATATTGTGAAAAATTATTTCAATCCTTTGATTTCTTTGTAAACAAATAAGAAAAGTGAGGTTGTATTTCAATGTTTTACAGAAGAGTGAGGTTGTGTCGGTCATCGTGCACGCGACCTATCCTGTGAAAATAAAAAAACTGACATTAGACCAGTTTGTTTTTCTCGTAAAATTACTGATCGGCAAATGTTTTTCGTTACCAAGAGAAATTTATCCGATAAAAAAAGCTCTCGTGTTTTCACTGTTGATAAATTGATGAAAAAACAACAAAAATAGATATTCAAAGGTATTCCAAAACAACACATTAGATAATAAATTATTTCTAGGAATTACTGGAAAGGCCCATTATCGAAAAATGGGCCCACCGAAGCGATGATGAACGTCTCACCTTGAACTTGTCGGGCAGCTTGGGGTAGGTGTGGGTGCGCGTCGCCTTGGCCCCGCCCCCCGCGTTGGGGGCGACAGGGGGACCGCCCGGCGGCGAGGTCGGCGGGGAGGCTTGCATCATGGCGGGGCTCGAGCCGGTCCGGCTGTGGATGTGCGCCGTCGTTGTGGTCGGTGTCTGAAAGTGATAGAGTCCCTGTATGTATTTGACACTTGCTGTAATTCGCAATAAAAAATAACACGTCGCCCCACCTGGTGGCAGCATAATGAACACTTCTGAGCGGTGTGTTTTTATGATAGACCAATAAGCACAAACAAAAAACAAATGTGAACCAATGAACACAAAGTAAACATGCCGCTTTGACAGATTTCAAGTACTCCGATAGGTGGCAGACGGACACTATGACAAGCAGTGAAAACAGTGCATAACCCTAAAAAATTTTAAATGACATGACCGATTCGGCGGGCACTGACAGTTCATGAACGTACAGGGTGATTCACCATAAATGTCCCCCCTCCAGCTCGGCTATATTTGAACCGATCCCAGAATTTGAAGAATCATTTGAAATGATTTTTGATTTTTTTTTCTGCTACATCAGAAAAAACATGGTGCTCGGAGTTCTTTGCATTTGTCTGTACCTACCTGAAAAATCGGGTTCCTTCGTCTCTCGCTGCATTTCTTGTGCATTGTACAACAGCACAATGTGATGACATGCTTGAATTAATGCATAGCCGAAAAACAAGATTCGTATGCCAACTGTCAAAATAATTGTAAAAAACTATTTCAATCCTTTGTAAATAAATAAGAAAAGTGAGGTTGTGTTTCAATGTGTTACCTCCAGGGTCGGTCATCTGACAGATCTTGCACACAACCCATTGGTGATAATAATTTAATGTTTTTTCTCTCTTGGAGCGCACGAAAGGGAATTCCTATAATAAAATGTTATTAGAAGTCATTGCATGTTGCCTCAAATTCACGTCATCGTTGAGAAAGAAGCGGTTAAAGAATTGATATGACTCCACCTCTTGAAGAAGTGCAAAATGGAACACTCAAACAAAGAACATACCAACAACTAATGAACATGAAATAAGACAATCAAATCAGAATTGTAATTTGTCTGAGGTGACATTTGAAAACTTCAAATTCTATTGAAACACATGAGCTCACGATATTTTCAGCAAACCAGCGCCATCGACAGGCAGACAAATCTTGGGTCAATGCTCAGACAATATTACACCTCTTGCCTAGGTTTTCATTTAGAACCCCCCAATCTTTAGTTGAACCACATATTAATCTATAATCAGCTGTAAATTTTTAGCAAATAGAGTCCTTGTGAAATATCAAATTGTGATAACAAGTAATGATAATAATATAGATATCCTACCGTATCTCCTGAAGGGGGACTGAAGCTGTCCGACCCGAGTCTCTGATACCCGGACGTGCTGGTCCTGCGCACTTTCTCATCCTGTTGGCTCAGCTTCAGCGGTAGCATCTGCTGGATGCCGCCGCTGTTGGACTTCAAGCTATCGTTGCTCAGCCTCGAGGCCAGCTTCAGCGGTATCTGTTGCCTTATCGACACGTTCTGGGATACTTTCTGCTGGTTCGTGGCCGATATCAGATTTATCGGAAGCTGGGATTTTTGAGCGTTTGCTGTAACAAAACAATGATATTTTTCTACTCACAGCATCGAAAGTAAGTGTTTGTCCCCTCATTTAAGGACGCAAACCTATCAATTTACTACCACGGGAGGAAAAAAAATTACCTCCCGTGGTAGGAAAAATAAATTGGCTTTAGTTTGCTTCCTTGGTAGAGATAAGATCTGTGCTACCCAAGTACCTAATCAGTGTCTCCAGCGCTACTATAAAACAAATAACAATTTCATTTTTCAGAATACTGTCTATAACCTTAGATCATACAACACGTTGATTTGGATCGAGACTCGAGAGATAGACCGCCTGAAGCACAATTTTAAGAACCTTTGCCCCCTTGATATATAAATAGCTATTAAGTGGATATTTCAACGATGCTGTGAGTGAAAACATGACTAGAAACTCAAGTTATTATTCGTTTCCTATTCTTGTGAGCACAAAAGGGAATTCCAATATGTTCGTAGAACATCGTGTTTTCCTAAGGAGGAACAAGTAACATAGCAAACGACCTAGCAACTCCTATAATCAACAATACGTGATTCGAATATAGCGGAAAGGTAATGATTTGGTACATTCTATGTACCTCGGGAATTGATGAGTCTTAATAACTTCAGGCAATTAAGGCCCCTATAATTCTCTTGATACATGGATAACTGAGTATTATTCAATTTGAAATTCAGTAGATTATTTCGGGTAAAACTTCGCTAGAAACTTCAACCAGTTCATTTTGGTCCTTCGAGCCGGATTTGGTTTCATCATCATTCCACCCTACATTTTGAATATTAGTATTAGAGTCCTTCAGAGGTGGATCATCTTGTTAGTCTAAATGATCAAGATGCCAAAACGAACGAACCTTTCGTCCACTTGGGATCCTTCCTCCTCTCCACCGACGACGCCGAGTGCGTCAACCCCGTCCCGCCCGTCCCCCCTGTCCCGCTCGCCCCCGACGACGTGTCCGACTGCGGGCTGCTGTCCTCCGACGTCTCTCGGCTGCTGCCGCCGTCGTCGGCGCAAGGCGTCGCGGCGCAGACCACGCTCGCGGGCGCCGGCATCGGCACGTTCGTCAGCAGGCCCTTGCTCGTCAGCACCTCCATCTTCCTGAACAGCTGCTCGCGCTGCTGCGTGACGTCCTCCTGCTCGGCGCGGACTTGCTCCTGGAAGAGAGAGTTTGTAACCACAGAACTATACCGGGTGTATCTATATAACACCGAAAAAATTCAAGGGGTGTTTCCTTGTGACATTCTAGCAAATAAAGTTCATATAAACATGTGTCCAAACTTGCTCCGTTTTTGAGATACAGGATGTTGAAGTTGGAAGTATTGTTTTTATTTATAACCCCCCTGTATAAGCTTTCATGGTGCCAAAATTCAGTATGGATGGGGACTGAGAAAGCCCCAAAATTTCAAAATGATTCTAATTGGGGTTATTGAGTAATCCCAATGGAAGTCTCGAAAACACCTACATTAAAATTTTGAGTCAAATCGGATTTTTAGTGTTTCCTCAAAAACTAAGCTAGATACAAAAATCACACATAGGATAAAAAAGTTGTTATTTCAATAGTTCAATCTAATCAAAATATGAAACTCAAAGAAACCGGTGGTGTACAATGACATTCACCATGAATATCGATAAATTTACCCAGTGTGACGCCACTGGAAATATTATTTCGAATCTAATTGCACTAGAAGAAGCTCCATATTACTATTAACAAAACCACAACGTTTTATTGAAATTGATGAAAAGACAATTGAGAAACGAATTGATGAAAGATTTTTCATGGAAACATCAATTCCCTGTATCTCGAAAACGAAGTAAGTTAGGACTCATGTTGTTATGTGTATGAGTTCGTGGACTAATTGTTATGATCAACAATTCAAACAGTGTTACTAAATCTCAAGTACTCATTCCCGGAAAATTCAATCGCTGTTATCATTTCTCAATATTATTGACAAGAGGCAGTGCATTAAAATCAATAGAAATTGAACCAAGTAAGCAATTTAATATTGATTGATTCAAACGAACGATTCATGGGCGTCGTTGCCCCACCTACTCGAGTCTGGCACGTGTGGCAAACGATGATCCATTCGGACGGGCGTGGTCTGGCCGCAAGATGGACTCGTTCGAAGGAGATGTTAACGCGATACGCAATACGTCGCACGGTTTCTCTATAGGAAAATTATTCTTGCCACATGTGTACATGGCAGACTGGAACCTTCGGCATGACAATCACACTACACTGTATTACCACTTACGAAACCAAGTTTCAAGATTAACCACACCAAGTTTCATAAATCATAATTATATTTTTGATTGGTGCTGAGATTGTTACGTTACCTGAAGCCTCAATAGTTCAGCTTTTTTCTCTTCAAGTTCTTTCGTTTCCATTTCCTTCGTCGCCATCCAAGCAGTTTTTTCACCGCTCAATTTGTCCTGCAGATTGCGCAATTCCTCCAACTGCTGATTGTGCCTGTACATTCTGGAATCGGCACCACCTCTCAATGTCATTATCTGAGCTTGCAAACTAAAAACAAAACAAACTAGTCGAATATACCTATTTTATCTTCTTCATTCCATGTATGAATTGTATTTGATGCAATCATTCGTTATTTGAAATCATCACAAATTCTTTTTTCAATAATTAAAAGCGACACCTAAAAACGCCAGCATAAACAAGAAATCCATTGAGAGTGTTGAACCTATCAAATTCTTAGGAATAACATTAGATCCAAAGCTCACTTTGGAAGTGCATATTAATATTGTAACTGCAAAATTGAGTATTCATTGTTCATTCATGTGATAAGAAATCTTAGAGAACTTCAGCAGAAGGTCCACTCATTTTAAACCTCTAATGCATTTTATAGTGTTGAGGAATTCCTCAAATTAAAAAAAAAAGTGTGCCTGGACCTATTAATATAAATTATTGTCCTATGTAATAATATTCCTTTTAGATATAATTATCACTCTATAGCATGTCATTGTTCGTTGTTTGTCCATTTTGTTTTTGTTTATTGTGAGCTGACTAGTCTTTGTTATATGAGTAATGTATAATCCTCATGGATGATTAAAAATTCTTTCTTCTTTCTTTTGCTGACGTGATAAACCGATTTACACCAACGGTGATATTTGTAGATATTACTGACCAATCAGAGAAAACCACATATTTCGACGCTGCTAAATGTATACCTTGTAATTACCTAATGAAATTCAATATGACAACATAATTCACAATCATAGAAGACAATGGTTCTACCTGATCCCAAATAATCACTCATTGAATAATCATATATCTTGCAAGATGCTTCACAATCATAATTTCCTAGTATTCCTCATAATGATCGAGATTTTATTAAAACCCAAACTATTTTGTGACCCTGGCAACAGCGTTATGCTCAGAGTTCACAAGAATATGGAGAATTCAAACCTAACCTCTACCAAATTTGCTATAACTACACCCACCTCTCATTAGTCGTCATCAATTGTGAGATGATGCAGAGCAACGTGTACACGTAGTGAGATAGTTGTATCGCCGCATATTGCTGTTCTCTGCCTAACGACAGCAGAGCGGGTCCGTCTGGCCCGGCCAACAATTGCTGCTGCGACAGCTGTTGGTTCTGTTGGTTTTCCGTATTTACAATTACAGTGTTTCCATTGGTTAAAGGCCCTCCAGATATCACACAATTTCTATAAGGCAACCGTTCCTGTAAAAAACCGTAAGAATACTCACCATATTTCAACATTTGTATTATGATAGTATCTTAAATTGAGCTATTGAAAGTGGCGCAGTCGGTAAGAGTTTTAATTTTTCAGCGAACATTATGAAAATTTGAACTGATAAATCAACTTCTATAGGAAATTGATGAGATAACGATGATATTTCGTTATTTCCACAGGAAAAAAATAGGTATTATTTATCGTGATAAAAACGCCTATTTCTCTGAACAATGAGGGAGATCCGGGATTATACACCTGACGAGAATAATTATTTCAATGAATGCAGTTTTTATTGTTGATCTACATAATTGATTTTCTCTATTGGATACAGTTTCCTACAACTCAGAATTTCTTCTAACTAATGTTTCTCAACATTAAACAAAATTGATGGACCTTCTCGTAATTGTTCCATGTCAGTTTTTCTCGTGAAATATACATTTCGTTAAAAAGATGAAGTGATCCGATGAATAAAACACTGATTTTTTTTCGTCACAAATTTTGCTATTGTGTCAAATGGTTGGAAAACTTCAACTCTTGTGGAAGTTCTTGTCGTTGCATGTTAAAGAGTAAATCTCCACTTGTTCATATCATAAGAGCATAATAACTTGAGTAAAAAGTATATTCAGATTATCTTATCTGCATTCCACGAGTTCACTGAAATCATAATATAGAAATCAATATGAATTAATTAAACAAGGATTCACTACCAATGTAATTTGATCTCGAAAATCACTAAATTTTCGGGGAATATTCCGATCTATAACTCTCAGGATACCAATACATAGCTCTACTCACAAATAATCTCGAATCACCAGGTTTGATGTTATCCAAATCGGGGGTACCGGCAGGAGTTCCAGCAGTCGAGAGTTTCTTCCCCAGCAACTTGATGGGGCCCTGATTGAAGTTGTCGAAGCCGCCGAAAGTTTCGGCCCTTTTGGGCAAAATCGGAGATACGTAGGTGTCGCTTTGATGCTCTCCCGCTGAGCTGACGCTCCTAGACAAATTCGTGCCGGTCGTGTAAAGAGAACTGGCCAATTGACTAACTTCCTACAAACAAAAATAGGAAGAACCGAATGAGAAAACTAGGATTTTTAAAATTCAAGAGGAATTTTGGCTGGACCCATTCTTATAAACATGAAATAGCAGGATACAATAGTATGATCCCCAGCTAGCGAATGTCCTTCTTTCAAGAAAAATGTCGATATGAAAAGGAGGCAATGTAGAGTTTAAAAGGATTTACCATTTAGAGCCATAGAGCGGGGGTCTGGAGAGACAGAACCAGTCGAGCCTCCACAGCTAATCTCAGAAAGATTCAGAGATTAGCATGTGTATGTATTACTGGTGCAATGAGAACGTGTCCCACTGCCGCAATGTTGGTAATTCTTGACCTCACTCCTCTACATTTAGTGATGGAGAATGCGGTAAATAGAACGACCATAGACATATAAAAATAAGGGATACATAACATTTCATTAATAAAACACTATTTGCTTATAATCATACATAGCGCCAAAGTTTCAAATGAGTTGGCTTAAAAAATGGAAACGCTGTAAACTGTGCGTCAATAGTCACACTTTTCTTTACTAGTCGCGTAGGTTAAGCGAAGGGCAAATCAATTTTACTACAATACAACTGTATTATACCTATTAGAAAGAGTTTGGGTCTAATCTTTCAACTTTGATACCTAATATTCGCAGGACCTTATAGGTACTTAGCATAATTTGATCCATCATTCATTGGAATTCAAAGAAAAGAAAAAACGTTTCTCGCAATAATTTACTTGAATAACCTGCGATAACTACACCACAGCGCAAGTTGAAAGAAGCATAACCTAAATTTACGTCGAAATGTCAATTTGGGGTAGAATGGTGAACTTTTTCACGATCCACGCACTGACGAACCATAGTAGATTGTTGATAATTGTCTTCATACACTTTTATAACAAGAAAACACTGAAAATCAATCGAAACACAAAAAGTCCCGAAATGGTAACAAACACAGCACAACAACACTCTAACGTCGGATTTTGACATAAGTGAATGACTGAGAAGAATATGCGTAAGTCCATCATACCTTGTAATTTGATGTAATGATGAAATTTGGAAAATTCACAATATTTCAATAGCAGAATTCACATAATTTCAATGAAGGAACAATCAAACAGAATGATAATGCATAAAAAATGTATGCTAAATAATAAATGTATGATTAACGCTTCTCTTGTTTTCAAACATAGGCGGTAGATTTTGGACAATTCGCAGAAATTTGTTATCGTTTTCTACTGAAAACCATATTGGATCGGGACAAAATGTAACTCGTCTCCCCTCTTTTATATATGTCTATGAGAACGACATACCCAATGACTGGAGAAGGAGTGATTCAAAGTGATCAAAAGTAGGCCAATCCACTGAGCCAGCAAATCCAGGATTTCCCTCAGGATTTGATAAAGATAAGTACAGCTTTGTGAAACAACTCACCACAAAATTGTAGTTATACTTGAGAGCTCGAAAAATGAGCAATAAAGTGGTACACAGATGGCTCCAAAACAGAAGATGGAACTGAAATAAGAGTCTACGGGCCTCGTACCAAGAACTTCAAAAGTCTTGTCAAGAAACCAAACTTATCTCAAGCGGAAGATCATGCCATAGGGAAATTTGTGCTGTTTGTATTCAATCTAGAAAAAAACCATGAAATACGAGATATCATTATCATGACCGATAGTCAAGCAGCCATTAAAGCGCTGAGCTGAGACTGTGACTTCATTTGTGAATTTGATCTTTGAGTTCTGTGATCTGAGACCTCAAAATCATTCAAAACTTTCAAGAAAAATAGTTCAGTAGCCCCTTCCTAATGTTTTACAATTTGCCGATGTTGGATTTGTTTGTAATAGTTATTATTCCATGAAACCCTTGGAAGTTGATTTGAATACAGGATTTAGGAATCCGCAATCTTGATTGAAAAGTATGACATAGAAGTGAATGCATGATCAATTTCAAAATCCAATGAAAGCCAATGAAAGAAATACATGTACATACTTGGACAGCCGTCAGTACTTCCTTCCACATTTGTCCAGTGTCCGCATTTTCGCTGACCAGATGTCTGTAGGATGGGGGCGATGGAGGCTCCAGTCCTGCGGCAGCCAAGAGCCTCAATTGCAGCGACATCTTCTCTTCCAACAATAGAGCCTGTTCTATGTCCTTCTGTCTCAATTGTCCTATAATCATATTGAAAATCACACTGTCGGTGTGGTACGTTTTATTTTTAGAAAGGAAACTTGAATTCAAAAATAGGAAATTGTTTGATGCTTGTAAGAAGTGTTATTTTTGATTACTACAGAGGTCTCCTTGAACTTGCCCTAAACGATTTGATTGAGGTTTGGTGATTGAAACAACAATATTTCTGCGAATTTACAGGCCCATCTTGTTTATTATATCTCTAAGTAGACTGATCAGCTAGTCAATCATGTCAAATAAACATTAGTGGAGTTTATTGCATTGAAAGTGTGTCTTCAAGATACATTCAAAAATAACATTGTATATTTCATAATACTCATATTAGGTGGTTATTTAGTTAAGCCCACTCTTAGGTCGTGGCGAGATAGTGACTACATTATACATACATAATAGTCAATAAAAAAATATCATCTTTTGGAAGTTATAAATACGAATCCAATGTTTAAGTCAAGTTTTGGTACACCTTTGTACACAAAAACATATACTAGCCTATTCATGTAGTCATGCATTAAAAATAATTCTCGACAAATCTTTCCACTATACCAATGAACTAGTATATTTCTATCAAGCATAGGCACTTGTGAGAATTTTAAATACACATGCAATTTCATTACAAAATAAACCGACTTTCTATGGTAACAGGTATACACATGCCTATATACGTTATTTTCTGCATACCAAAAAATACTAGACCGTGAAGGGTCGGCAAATGAACACTTCCATCTTCGATATGTTCAATGGAAGGCTCATTATATTTTACAATTGAATTTTCCAAAACAGAAAACCGTTTCTAATATATCCATAGGAGTGATCACTATATGATTATGGCAAAGAGGACATTTGAATGGAGTTATTGATTCCTCTAATCGAATTTAAGCAAACTCTTTAGAGGGGGCAAAAAGTTCAAGCTCTCAGTTGACTATTCATAGTATAAATTCAGTTACAACACAGTTAGAGGAACACTTTTAGTAAGAACAGCACGAAACCCACTGAACTCACCGATATCAAGATGACCGGGAGTTGAGGGGATTTAATTTATATCAGCTTAGCCTCATCCCCGTTGATAATATCAGAGTACCTAGTGATTAAATATCAAATGTATCTCTTCCAATAATAATTACATCTCTCAAAAAGTTCATCATACCAATAAGTTTCCTAATGAGATTTTTGTGCAATAATAATAATAGGTTAACTAAGTACAGAAAAAATAGATAAAATATCACAATGTTTCCTACCAGTGGCAAGTTTACACCGTAATATAATTTGGTAACTAGTCTTGTAGGCCTAACAAGTGAATATAGCTCAGATAACACTTGCCTAATAATGCCAAATGTTGAGTTTTCATTCATTTGAGATTATTACAATAGGAGGACTCAAAAAAGTATCTATTAGCACGTGTCCATCTGCACTGCTTGCATTTCATTCTCTGTATTCAGAGTTCAATTATTTTTCTAGCACTACTTTGTTGAGCAGCTTATATCTATCCTTCAAACATTTCATCAAGTCACAGCCGTCTTCAATTGAAAGCCATGAAGAATGAACTTTGGCAACATTGTCCGAACGACCGAACGTGAACCTGTCGGCCATTCAAAGTGTATTGTGTAGGAAGTAAACAAAGAGTTTATGGAAGGTTTTGTTAAAGTTTTCAATTATTAATTGGTGTATTATTGAGATCAAATAAGATCATGTCTCAGTTTTTTTATTCCCGAAAGGGAAAAAATTGCGAAGTAAGTGGATAACAGCAATACCTCGAAAAAACTGGACACCATCTCAACGTTCTGCAGTATGTGCAATTCATTTTATTGAAAAATATATCATCAGGTATGATACATTCCCTCTGCCAGATGGATCAATTGGAAAAATTCGTTATGAGCACCAAAGTTAGTCGAAACAGCAGTTCCTTCATTTTTCCAAATTTACCAAAATATTTTTCAAAACCAGCCAAACCATAAAGAACTGATCCAAATGAAAGACGTCAGAAATATTTAGATATTCAAAGTAATATAATAGAACAGTTTGAAAAATCAGACCTCATCCACAACTATGAACAGTTAGTTAGGGAATATGTTGAGAAAGTTAAAATTGATACTTGGAAAATCCATAAGACTGATGAAAAATTATATTTTTATGAATCAGATTTGAAAGCAAATGTTTTTTATCCCAATGATGTGAATACTTTACAAATCGTTTCTCAAGTTATAATATCCAATGAGATGGAGGTCCAAGTTTTTCTTGGTGATAATAAACTTGGATTCAATGAATTGAAATGGATTCTTACTCATGATATGAACTTGAAAATATTCTAGCTAGATTCAAAAATATCTCAGATCAAACTGACAAACACTCAGATATGAATGAAAAATTCGATATATCTCCATAAGTTTTATTTTAACAACATGTTCAAAATTACGGCTTCAGTTCATGACCAAGGGAATTATTCAACCACATTATTCCTCGTTCTTCACTCTGTAAGTTCACTCTCGTGTATTTTTTACCTATTCTACGCAATAATCCGAGAAAATTACGTTAAACCAAACATTCAAAGCTCGCGCTCATATAAAAACCATTGTATTGCTAGGCGCGTATATGACCGACGGTTTCCGTTCATGCGACGTTGCCATTATCTCAGCACGGCTTGATAGTTGAAGACGGCTGTGATCAAGTCAAATACTTGAAGGATATGTAGACTTATGTATGTACCCTTACGAGGGGAGTGTATCAACACGTGGCGTCCATAATTCCTATCTACAAAGAAAATTGTTGCTCTCATGGGTTGGGTATATGCAGTTTTCGATATATCAACTTCTTTCAAATTCAATTCAATCAGGATATGGTGTTTAATGAAGAAGCGCTCCAGTCTTTGCCGTTATGTAATCAGACCAATGATCAAATGTGAATCAACAGCCAGTGTCAATTGTGTTGAAATATTTCAGTCAGCTTACCAGGATATTGACCATTCTAGAACACGTTATTTTGACAAGGTTTCTTGAAGGCCACACAAACTATCTGTTAGGTTATCATTGATTGGCATAGCCCTGCCCACATCCAGAATACAATAACAGAAAAACAATTCTATTATTTCTGGTTTCATATGGCGAAATACAATGTTTGCCCTCCAACTACCTGTCAAATTACGTAATTATGGAATGAATAATATGGTGTAAACATAACCAATATACACATTTTTCAATTCATTATAGAAGGAGAAAAAATGATTGATCGGTGTACCTAATGCAGATATGTTTCAGACAGTCTTGATTGCATCCAGAAAGTAAATATAATCCTAAATTCCAGTAAATCTACAGCATTTATCATAATATCAAAAATGCTTCAATAAAATGCATGCAGAGTTTCTCAGTATTTGTTACCTTCGAGGTCCGAATCTGCTTCTGTTGGGAAAACAGAGCAAGACATATAATATTTACACTAACAAAAACAACGAGTAGGTAATGTTAAATAAACAAAGGAACTACGATAAGACTCCGAGGAAATTTTCGTGGCATGCAACCTTATTTTATATTTTATACAAAAACCATTATGAAGTGTTCGAGGAATGGCAATCAGGGACTTACCGATGAGATGTCTGACTTGGTTCTGTTTGGCATTCAAAAGGGTTAGTCGTTCATCTGAACTCAAGGCAATATTTTCGTCGTCATCTTCAGGACACGATTGAACTGCTTCTCTATAAAATATTGAATATTTATGCAACTATTTTTACCGAAATTATTACTACCGTTGTATTACTGTCAGTAGTAATTCGTGAGATTTCATGTATCTATATAGTCTATTAAGTGAGTTCGCAATGAAATAGTGCCAAAAAATTCAAGACCCTCTTTGAACCATGTCAGGAACAGACATGGTGATACAATTTTGGTTAAAAATGAAACAGACACTTTAATAAACGAACAATATTGGGTTTTTCAAATAGTACATCATTTTATTAGGATCAAAAGTGACACTTTTTTGAAAAGCGAATTTTGCATTTGCGGGCAGAGCGTCTAGCGAAGCCGAGCGAAAGCAAAATTTGCGAGAATTCAAGATCTAATTTTGGTATTAAAATGGACGACTTTTGTGTGGGTTGCAGTAAAACATGTTTTTTCATTACCTTATTGCTTGAATCCACTGCTGCTTATCCTTCGGTTTGTGTACTTTCAGTTCAAACATTTCAGGATCTGCAGGATTTGAAGAAATCAAATAGATTCCTCTCGAGTCTTGTCCAGCTTTCTCTCTCACTAATAATTTTTGTAAAGATACAACACCAGCCTGAAATATTGAAAATCTTATTTCAATAAAAGACGAGATATTCTTCCTAAATAAATGTAAATTATTAAGCACCTTCAGCATTTTGACTACAAGTTATTCTTCAAAAGGTCTCATGTAAGCACCAACTTAGTCCAACATATTTTAAATTCTTAATCATCTTCATTTTCTGAGATAGGAGCAGAAAGAAGAAGAAAGTGATAGGAGATGAATGAAATCGGAGTCCTTTTGAAAACAATACAATTGATAAAACTTACGTAAAGTGGATCAATATCTAAGATTGATGATTTTGTTTTCTAAAATATGGATTTCAAAACTACCAATGTACATTGGAACCTTATGAGAAATATTTGTTGACCACGTTCACTTCAAAATTTGACGAAGAAATTTTGAGTGCAAGTTCAACCCTTATTTCAGAGAGTGATCTCATGGTTAATCGCTGAAGTACCTACCTTCATAAATATTTCAACTCTGACACCATGTATATCGAATATGAAGGGATAGAATGAAAAATGGTATTTAGAAACTCTTATTGTTTTTGTTCAAGGAATATATGGTTAATGGATTGACCTCCTTTTAGCGGACACCCTGTATAACTCCTTACCTAATGAGTTGAGAAATATAGAAGAAGCAGAAAAAATTTAAATCAAATTGAAGAAATATCCGCTCAGTAAACTTTAATTCCATATCTACTAATCATTCACAATTTGATTACTTGTAATGGATTATAATATTCTCTTTTTATATTTTATTATAATTTTTTTTATGAAAAACAATAATTGTGCAATTATTATTGTTTAGATTTATTATGTTATATGTATGTTTTGTTGTATACAGGGTGTTAACAAATAAGTGTCACAACGGAAAACTAGATTACTCATAATAAAAGAAACATTTCTTTCCTCTTAAAAAGCTTTTCTCCGGGCTTCCGTTTTCAAGATACAGGGCGTCAAAAAATCAAAAATGTTCAGTTTGATTAAACACACTTTACTACACTTAATAAACTTAACAATTTGAAAACCAGCATACTCAAGAACCTGACATTTGATTGAACATATTATTAGACAGTTCTGAGGTGTTTATTTCCAGTGGATTTTTAGACGATTTTTAGAGATACCATCAGGATTTTGTATGTTCTTATTCATAAAGAGCCATTTTTTGCGGAAACTGTTCACTTTAGAGCATTGAGACAAGAGGACGTTTTTTGTGTGAAAGATATTGGCGCTTCAGAATCTACTTTGAAAACTACAATTTCTCCCGTGGCATACATGTTTGTGGGGTTAAACCCTTTCGAGGCGTTGAATTCTCCTCCACTGACATGTCCAAGGAAATTCATCAAGAGCCCTAAAAGTAGTCATTATTGATGATGAAGTGTGTACGAAGGCTTAACTCCGTAGCTCAGACGGTTCCTGAGATAGTAGCAAAAACCAGATTTATTTGTATTGTCCTGTATCTTTATAACGGAAGCCCGGAGAAAAATTTCGAAAGGGAAAAAATGTTTCTTTTTTCATGAGCAATCTACAGTTTTCCGTTGTGACACTTATTTGTTAACACCCTGTATATCCCTATTATAAACAATAATATTTCTTGGGGTAATAAAGATAATCAATCAATCAATCAAATGGAGAAATCACTCGCTCACCTTATTGTCGGGTGTGAAGAAGGTATACTTGTGGGAATTCTCCTGCAAGAAAAACAAAACGTCCGATAGGACGATGACCAGCACGATCTGCATCTTCGCCCGGCCCTGCATCAACATCGCCACCCCCTCGAACTTCAGCGAGCGATTCCCCTGCAAAATGTCCGACTTCTTGAACTTGTGGTCCCTGTGGACCGTGTACGATTTGGCGTCGATGCGATTGTAGATCTCCAGCTTCCTGTCCTCTTTTTCCCTTTCGGCCACTTGGGCGTCCACCTGATTCAATGAATTCGTTTATTGAGTTCCAAAAAAACATGGAAATGTCATCTAGTCAGAAGTAGAGTCACTGAATGGTATTAGTTAGGGTCCCTTGATGGAAATTGACGTTAAAGTCATCTAAACAGGGTACGGACAGATCCTCGTCTCCTCTCACTCTAAAGTGTTTGTGAAACAGTTATATAGTTCCATCCTTATTCAATTCTGGGGATAAACACTAGATTTTTGACATTCGTTGTTTTTTAGGTTATATTGAGGTCACTGGCGTATCATACGTAATTTCCATATAGAATTCCTGATTCAACTATATCAAGATATAGATGAACAATCCTCTAGTTTTAGAGTTTACTACTCCAGCATAATCTTTGCGATTTAGGGAACATATAAATTGTACTGGAAGCTCAATATATTTCACCAAAAGACACTGTTCTTAGACTGTATACCAGGGTCGACTGAATTGACTGAATAAATAATGATTTCAAGCTGAGCAGTAGTTTATCTAGGAGCTGAATGAGCTGAGCCTTATGATTGAGAAATAGTGGAAACCTCGATGTGGGTATCTGGACTACTGTACTCATGTCATGTGTGCTAAATATATTTTCAGAAATCCAAGTCGGAGAAAAATTTATGGAGTTACTAATATCACACTATGTATAAAACTTCGTCCAGGACGAAAAGTAGGCTTATAAAAATTTATACGTAAAATGTGCATGAAAATAAAGAATAGAATATACTTCACCCCCATGTTATACATATGATTTTTCCCTCTCTTTTAAATAAAGAGTCATTTTGAATAATTTATTGATGAAAGTAACAAAGAAGTAGGTATACGCTAAGTATACGCAGTATAACTATAGGCACGTTATTTTCACTCTTGCTTCCTACATATCTTCTATTTGTGGTAGAGTAATAATTATATAAACTAATGACTTTCGCTATATTGGATCCGTCATCTTGAATGTTTCAATTTTGACGAATTAATTATAATCTCCGACCCTGGAAATCCCCAGATACCAATTTTGATTTTTTGAATAGAGTCGGATCCTAATTACAAGTTTTCTTTCTCATTATTGGTTCCGCTATCTTGAATTTCCCAATTTTGACAAAAAATCATGAAGTTCGACCCCGAAAACCTTCAGATACCAATCTTAAATAGAATCAGATCATAATTAGAAATTTCTTCTGCTATATATTGGATCCGTCATCTTGAATTCTCCAAGTTTGACGAAACAATCATCATCTCCAACCCCGGGGTAGGAGATAATGATTGTTTCGTCAAAAATTAAAACATTCAAGATGAAGAATCCAATATGGCGAAAGACATTAGTTTATATAATTATTACTCTACCACAAATAGAAAATATGTAGAATACAAGAGTGAAAATAACGTGCCTATAAGTTATTCTGTGTATACTTAACGTATACCTACTTCTTTGTTACTTTCATCAATAAATTATTTGAAAAAGACTCTCTATTCAAAAGAGACGGAAAAATCATATGTATAACATGGGGGTGAAGTATATTCTATTCTTTATTTTCCTGCACATTTTACGTATTAATTTTTATCAGCCTACTTTTCGTCGTAGACGAAGTATTTTACATTGTGTGATATTAGTAAATCCATGAATTCTTCTCCGAGTTGGATTTCTGAAAATACATTTAGCACACGACATGAGTACAGTAGTCCAGATACCCACATCGAAGTTTCCACCATTTCTCAATCATAGGGCTCAGCTCATTCAGCTCATAGGTAAACTACTGCTCAGCTTGAAATCAGAATTTATTCAGTCAATTACCCTGGTATACAGTCTAAGAACAGTCTCTTTTGGTAAAATATATTGAGCCAGTACAATTTATATGTTTCCTAAATCGCAAAGATCATGCTGGAGTAGTAAACTCTAAAACTAGAGGATTGTCCAGCTATATCTTGGTATAGTTGAATCAGGAATTCCATATAGAAATTACGTATGATACGCCAGTGACCTCAATATAACCTAAAAAACAACGAATGTCAGAAATCTAGTGTTTATCCCCAGAATTGAATAATTTTGGAACTATATAACTGTTTCACAAACACTTTAGAGTGAGAGGAGACGAGGATCTGTCCGTACCCTGTTAAGATGACTTTAACATCAATTTCCATCAAGGGACCCTAACTTTAACGTCAATTTCCATCAAGGGACCCTAGGTATCTAGGGTCCCCATGACTATGACTGACTCAATCAAAAGTATTGAAGTATGGACTACTTCAGAAGAAACTAGGGTCCCTTGATGGAAATTGACGTTAAAGTCATCTTAACAGGGTACGGACAGTCATTCAGTCAATTCAGTCAACCCTGGTATACAGTCTAAGAACAGTCTCTTTGGTGAAATATGTTGAGCTTTCAATACAATTTATATGTTCCCTACCTGGCAAAGATTATGCTGGAGTAGTAAACTCTAAAACTAGAGGACTGTTCATCTATATCTTGGTATAGTTGAATCAGGAGACCTCAATATAACCTAAAAACAACAAATGTAAAAAACCCAGTGTTTATCCCTAGAACTGAATAAGGATGGAACTATATAACTGTTTCACAAACACTTTAGAGTGAGAGGAGACGAGGATCTGTCCGTACCCTGTTAAGATGACAAATACGTCTGTTTGCATCGTGAGGTTCGAAAAATCGGCTAGGTTAGGTTAGGTGGTCAAACATTGCAGTGTGATTATCGTGTCAAGAGTTCGTTTTGTCAGGTACTAACCTCCACGAGCACCTCCTTGACCAGCCCGAGAGCTCTTTGCAGCGCCTCCTGCTCCTGCCTGTTCTCCTTGCTGGTCTTGATGAGCGGCTCGATGAGCAACGGATACTTGGTGAGCCGCTGCGTCACGAACAGGATGCATTCGGGGATGCCCTTCTTCTTCAGCAAAGGGTTGGTCTGGCAGTGCTTCACGAACTCGCTGAAGCGCTGGTCGTTCTGCAGGTAGTACTTGTAGATTTCGACGGCGTCCCTGTGTCTGCTGCAAAACTCGCCTGAAAATGAATGAATGAATTAATTTATTACGTTTCAAAAAACATAAAAATGTCATCTAGGAACACCTCTCTTACTAGTTACAAGTCATTATAGTTTTACAAATTACATAATATCGTATATAATAATTATATTAATGATTCAATCCTATATCAATTTAGTGAATATACCCTAGTTTGTACAATAGTAATATATGGGTAACCTTTTTAACTCAACTATAATATATGCTATATAAAGTATCTCATTGTTTTCCTTTTAAATCCAACCTCCTAATCTCCTAACTGTACAAATAATAACTTCAGTGGAATGTGAGACTTTAACAAAGCTTTGAATTTTTTTACACCTTATCTTTTTATATGTAATGGTATTTTGTTGTACTCTGAAACTCCTTTATAAAATACTGAAATGATTCCATTGTTCGTCATTACCCTTGGTACTTGAAAATGTATACAGTTTCGAGTATTATATCCGTGAATTTCCTCTCTAGTTTGAATGTAATTTATGAATGTCTAGCACTCTTTACTATCTGATGTATGAATACATTGACTGGAAAACTATATAAACTTCCCAGTGGTACAATATTGTAATGTTCATATAGATTCAAAGTTGAATATCTTGATGGCAGGTTATATAAGTTTCTAATTGATTTGTTATGCAGAATTTTAAGTGGTTTGATATAACTCTCATATGTATTACTCCAAATTATTGTCAGATATTGCAAATGTGAATGTATTGGGGAAAAATACACAGATCTCAGAATGTAACTTGGGACAGAATAGCTTAATTTTCTCAGAATACCCACTGGCCCAACAATTTTTTTTTTAATATGTATGTGCTTGCCAGGATAGTTTTATATCAATTATCAGTCCCAAGAACTTAATTTCATTTTTATATTGAAGTGATCCACTTTGACAAGTTATTTCATTCTTAATATAATCATTGAGGATTGGAGGCTTCGTTTTGATGAAATTTTTATGTAGGGTGGGCCAATTTGTGCACTTTCAAAGGGAAAATCCTATTCCCCTACAAGATAGAAAAACATTGATGTCAGTGCCTGTTGATCAATTCACATGAGAAACTAAAGTTGAAAACCGCATATCGATATAAATCTTTATTTCAGAGTTTGTAACATACCAGTAGGTTAGTATAATTATTATTCTCTTTCTCTTCAGGGCCTTGGTATTGAAATAACAACACTGCGATATACAAATGAAGCATAAAACAGATTTTTATATTGAAAATACACAGTTCCAAAGTGAATCTACTAAATCTAGAGAACTTATCCACTATTATTGTCCAAACGTCTATGCTGTGCACAATGATAGTGTAGTGCGGAATGTGAGAGGGTGATGATTACCTCTCCAATAATAGTTAGGTTCTTAATTATCGGTACCTGGCACCTGCTGCTGTCGCTTTCAACAAAACCCACTCAGCGACCATCAACATCTCACTTGCAATAGTCGTATACGTTTGCCTACTACTCGTAGGTATTATATCCAATCGATGTATTCCAAAGGGACTAGGTTTTACGATAACTCTCGCAGATACACTGAATTTCATCAAATTCAGTAATGCAGTCAATGCACCTTTTACTGGCCGAAGCTCTCGCTCGACTCCCTCTCTCATTCCATCCAACGGTTGCCATCTCACCCCTCACCGCTCACGCCTATCTTCTGCGCACACTCCACTCAGGCAAACGGTTGCCACGTTACGAAATCACCGCGTTCGGTTCGAAATGTTCTCACCAACACACGAATACATAGGGGAGAGTGGGGCACGTTACAAGTTACAAGGTGTTTTTCGAAAATGTGAATTTTTGAAAGTGGCTATCACTCTTTTTTTGTCAAAGATTCTTCGTTTTCATGAAAACATTTCCAAACATGAAAATTGATCCTCAGGCAATGAAATCAGTCACTGTATACCTAGTTGCATAATAGAACGTTTCTTTCGATATTCTTGAACTAGATATAGGATGGCCGATTTCAGTGCCTCGAGAACAACTTTCACCACAAACTCAATGCTTTTCAGTTATTTTCATAAGAACAGACAATTTTTGCCAACAAAAAAATCTGTAGCCACTTCTCAAAAATCGATATTTTCGAAAAAACTCATCCACTCAAAGTATAAGAAAGACAGTTGCCAAGAAAAATATTCTGCATTTTTATGTTGAGAACAGGAGCAGACTCGGCCCGAAACGTCCAAAGATAAGAAAAAATTCGATATTTTTTCAATATATCTATATTTCTTCTCTTCAAACATTTTTTCAAACAATGTGTCGCTGACAAGCTATTGGATTTTTCTTTTAGGCTCCCTGAATAAAAAATTTGTAAAACGCAGTGACATTTTGGGGCAAGTCATCTGATTTGAAATAATACCCATATTTTTATTTTATAGAAACGAGGAGAGGAAATCCAAAATAATAAAGTGAAATCAGAGATTATAATCTCTGGTGAAATGGACATCTTTTATATTGATTTCACTCGAAAACTGTGCATTTCATCATATTCCAGCAAGAATATAAATAATAATCGCTTATGAGGGTCGAAACACGTTCAAAGTATATGGGAAGTCGAAAATGTTTAATACACATCTGAAGAATAATTTGGAATTTCGTCCACATTGTTGAATTCAACATAAAAAGTATACATACAATATTTCATTATTTTATCTAAAATTTTTTTAGAAATATAAATAAGAAACCACATTCAGGTGAGCCACTTCGAAAGGTTCATTTTTGTTTGACATTTTTGTCTTTATTCTTGGCTGAGGAATCTACTGCCAAAGTATTGCACGCTAATTATGGTGCACAATGTTCATCTGGGGTGAGTCAGTTCCATATAGATGTTAACAGCTTGAAGAACACATATTTTCGATAATACACAGGGTGTCAAAATTTTATATATCTTCGTGTTTTGCAATTTCAAACATTATTGATATGATAGATACACTAACCTGCAATTCCAGCGTGTAAAAGGTATCAAATGTATATTTCAAAATGCATCAAATTGAATTTTGTCACACGTGTTGGTTTTGCATACATGGCGATCTTAAAATTGGTGTCCGTTGGTCTAGAATTTCAAATCAACTTACCATATGCTGATTTGAGTTTTGATGCATGGTGATTGGAGAACTGCTCTAAAAGTATGTCGGCGATAGAAGACACCACAGGACTCTCCCTCTGCCTTTGTCTCAACCTCGACAGTAATCCTAAATGTAGCTCAGTCAGATCAACGAGTCTCGGAAACATCCTTTCCAGATTGGGGCCCAGTTGAAAATATTTTTGTAAACCATCTACAAAAACCTACAACAAATAATTTGAAACTGATTTTTGATATTCAAAATATCTAAATTCACTTTTTACATAAACTTCAACGGTTTCAAACATGTATACATACAAATTCTGAAACTTGGGGTTCGGAAATCATATGTACACTAGTAGCTATTTAATTACATTAGAGGACACGCAAAACTCTTTGTTTGCCAAATTAGCGCTATTTTTGTAAACAAATTATTGAAGTCACATGTCGTTCTAATGAAAAACAATCTTATACTTCAAGGTCAGGTTTTGGGTCAAATCGTCCAAATGGACACTCTTTTTGTTTTGCTTCTACAGATGTCTTAGTATAGACTTATTTGTATAATTGTATTTACTACATGTATCGCTACCTTTACTGTTGCTGAATAAATAATACATATTTTTATCAACTCCAAAACTCAGAATCACATGCTAAATCTCATTGAATTCTTCATGATATTAGTTCGAGGCGTTTATGCTGACATTTCACAGAAATGGAAATATACATTTAGTACCCACACTAAAGTAGAGTAAGCTCAAACAGTAATATCTTGAAGTAAAAAGATCTACTATATCTACAGAGTGACTCATTCGAAAGCGGGCCAACTTCATGAATTTTTCATTTATGGAGCGATTTGCACACCATTTTTTTCAGAAATGTAGAGGAGAACGGTGTATTTTGGTGCATTTTTCTAAACCGAGGACTAGGTCACATTCAGTGTCTCATTTCAAACGCCCCCCCCCCCATATCTCAGCTATTAGTCGTGCGATCTTTATCAAATTACGACCTGCATGAATGACCATCAATAAAATCAGTTTTTAAGAGACGAACATCCTGTTAGACAATGCCGTGCGTTTTTATTAAAATAAAAGGGGTAAATTTTTTATGAAATCATCTTAGGAATTCTTTACAGGAAAACTGACCTCGTAATATTGTTCTTCATGGTTTCAAATCCCCATTAGTACATTTTCATATGATTCCTATGGAGGGTTTTAAAAAACAGTCGAAAATTGGTAAAAGTGCACTTAACATGCGATGTTTTTTTTTCGAAATTTTTTTTTTGCTACTCACGTATTTTCGTCTGAAAAACACGAATTTCACAATGAAAATGTGAACAAACCGCTATTCATCGAGATATTTTATGAAAAAGTGCGAAATTTCACCTTCTTTTGCAACCCATCTAGGATATTCATTTACAACTACTTATCCTTCTTTTTCCATCACTGTACACATTATATACTCACGTTGTACTTCAATAACACATTTTATTTCCTAAAATCAACAAGAAGTATGGTTTATTTGGATTTTTTTCATATTGAGTGAGGTAAACAATAGTTTGGGTTCTCTACTTTCTTGCAAAATTTCTTCACATTTGACCTTTATTTGACATCTCATATTTGTACTTTGAGTTCTGTGATTGATTACCTCACTAAAATATGAAAAAATTCCAAATAAACCATACTTCTTGTTGATTTTAGGAAATAAAATGTGCTATTGAAGTACAATGTAAGTAAATAAAGTGTCCAATGATGGAAAAAGAAGGAAAAATAGTTGGAAATGGATATCCAAGATAGGTGGAAAATACACCTTTCCCCTCTACAATTCAAATGAGTTGCTCTCTACATATATGTAGAATTACTTATTCAATAATTAAGTTTTTTTTACCTTTTGCATTACTAACAAAGTCATGCAGTGGTGTTTCTCGGTCAATATGAACTCATAGATATGCTCTTGGCGCTTGACCTCTTTTTCCTTCAACTTTCTGGAAATATCTTTGCCCACATATGGTGACCAAGAATCAGGTTCGCTTTCGTGGAGCCCTAAACTAATATCTGAACAGAGGTCGGCTGCCATCAATGGTGAATCCGACAAAAATTCCAAAGGAACAATTGGAACATCTTCAGGGAAGCTAAAATAAGAAAATTCAAAGAAAACGCTCATAATTAAACACAGAAAATTGCATTCCCTAACTTGTAACGAATTATTCCTATTTCAATACAATGGGATTTTGTGCAGAATGATAATGTTGGATCTAATTGTAATGCACAAAGGCTGATTGCTCTTTTTTATAATTTTTCTTTCATGCAGTAGTAGGCATAGTTTGACTGATGCAATATGACCTGTTACTAAAAGTTTTTCACTTCCTTACTAGTTATAAAGAAGAGCATTTACAGAGTTTCAGTTATTCTGCCTTCGCGATCACCATCGGTACCAGGTGTCACACCAAAACTACGGGAAAACAATGGGCATGTCATCTCGATGTCATATCATATGTAATTTTTTAAATGTGCTTTTCCGACTTCTAAATTATTATATTCGAAATGCCTATTGTGCACATAAATTTAGCTAATATCATTGAGTATTTGAGTGGGAGAATTAGGACTGTGGCCGAAGGGGAAGCAGATTCAATACCAACCATGTTATCCTGTGCCAGGTAGAAGATGTGGAAAATAGCCTTTGTTTCCAAAGTTCTGAATTGAAATCTCATCCACACGAAATCAAATTGAATTTGGAATGAGTAGGTACATCTGTGACTGAGTGGACCTGAATAAGTAGGTGTAAAGCAGGCCAATCTGGCTTCTGTAAGCATGTTGTTGCTTTACTGATATATGTAAATCGGTAGGTAGTAGGTAGATATTGAATTTAACATAAAATCTTCTGGAGTTGAGAATCTGCATTATCTTTCAGATAAAAATCTGAATTCGGAATATTCAACAGGAAACAACTATAGGTACTTTCATGGTTATTTGCCTCGTCGAACATTGAATAACATTTGCTGAACACCCAATAATTATTACACTCCCGTACAGAACAAAAATTCTTCGATTTACTCGTCATAAAAAAACTATGAACTTGAGGTTCACAAACGCAAAATTAACAATGTATGTGAACAAAAGAAAATATTCGATAATATATCACCACAATGATATTACCACATAAAGTGACTTTATAGCCATCTTAACAATTACTTTGACACCTTTCCTTTGACTTGTTTGTTTTCCCGGAGTTCATAGTGTTACTTCATAAATGTAGATGTCGCCCACTCCGTGGATATCGCGAATAGTGTCACTGCACATGTCAATATTGAAAAAAAAAGAATTACCTTGCTGAATCATGGTGTCCATGAGAGTCATCTTTATCATCACAAAGTATTTGGCTGAAAAGCAGATAAAAAATTAGCATAATGGCTGAAGATAAATCGGCACTGGCCTACGCAAGCGAAGGCCTACTGAAAAAGAAAACACGTCTAACAAAAATAGTAAATAATAAAAAGTTTCGAAAATGTGATATACATCTGTCTGTTGTGGGTGTGACTTGCGACTGAGTGGAGGAGGAAAATATAGAGAAAAAAGGCATGCCTGAAAGCGAACAGCGTGTAAAGCCTGCGCAAAAAACTGAATGAACCCATACAACCAAAACTCAATTTGTTCGTCATAAAAAAATATCGAGTAGGTATTTGTCGCCAAATTAAAAGACAGCTAACTGGTACTGAAGAGTATCACGTTAATACAGGGTGTCCAAAATATTCTGAAAATAATCCTCATATATCTTCAATTCTTATTCATTTGGTTTGTTCTACCACAGTCCATCGAACATAGAAAATGGTGCAAAATATTCAGTCAACGGTATGATACAATATTCACGATGAAAAACAAGAAGACGCCATCTGGAGGTGTCTTTATAAACTGTCAAAGCGATCTGGTCAGTTTGTTAACATTTAGGGGCGACGTGTTATTTTCTATCGTCAAAGAGCTCCTTTTGATGATTCCAAGAAAGCATTTCCACCATACCATAACCTTCTCTATTAACAAGCCATGGTGAATAGTATTGGCAACTGTGGACAAAAATCTCTCGCCTGTCGTAATAAATATAAACGAATGCAATGGAGTAATTTTTTATGGTATTCAAAAATGAATCGATGTGTTATTATAGTAAAATATTGTTAAAGCGTAAGGATTCTTGTAGTGGTCTTATTTCCGAGTGAAAGTGTGTGCAAAGTATACCAAAAATAGGCTTTGAATTGAGGTTGTATTTCATTTTTCCTCATGTAATGTCAACGTTCCTCAAAATAAAATGCTGCATCATTGTTGTGTGTCAAATTACGCTTCTGAAAACAATAAATTATTGTTTAAATTTTCACATTTCTTGATGATGATTAACTGCGGAAATAGTGGATAGAAATAACGTTCGTAATGATACTGATGAGCAACCACGGCTTATTATAGAGACGGTTGTGACCATAGGAAGACCTGGGTTTCGTTTCAAGCGGTACTTCGGAATACAAAAATCAAATTGGATTTTTGGGAATTCATTTTGGGCACTATGTATACACGGATACCGCTAAAAGTAAGAAACTGGAAAATAGACGGTGAAAATATCGAGAATATAGTGAATGCTGGGATGTGAGGTTAGGACACAGGGACTTACTTCACTCCGAGCTTAGTAGCAACCCTTCGCCACGGTGAGTAGCACAGCTGGCTCCTCCTAAAAGGGAGGGACAGGGAAGAGGCAACATATTAGCCATACACCCGATTCGAATAAACATTCAACCATATTTTGTGAAGTTGACAACGTTTTAACAATTGGTCCAGTTCCCGAATCGACAACGAAATGGCTACAAGAGATACAGAATTCTTCTTGGAAAAAATGATCGTCCTCTGTTTATTCTACCTTTCAAATGAGGTTCAGAAACAGCGAAAGATAATGAAAATTATTTGAGTTCTGATGAACCAATGAAGGCTCCAATGAAGACTTACATGTTTTGATTATATACAAGATCGCGCTACATAGAATTTGAGATCAAGGTTGGTATAAATGATAGGAATTCTTCTATTGTTTCATTTGGCGCGTAAACTTTCACATTGGAAGTAAAAAGCACTAGGCTTCCCAAGTCTAGCTATAACTTGAGTATTTGTTCACCTAGGTCACATCATTGTTTCTGCAAATTACATGAAAAACAGACTTCAGGGATTTTTAATTTTAGATTGACTTCACGCTCTAGTAACGCCAACTTGTGAGACTGGAAATGATTCAATGATTTATGATTCAATTTGAAATCATCGTTGAAATGTATTCTCCTTCTTCCTGACCGGATGAAATTTCATTAAGGGTCTGTTTTATGGGCTGCTGTTGAATCTTTGAGTTATCTCACAATGATTGCCATAGGTCAGCAGTTGTCAATTGAGTATTGAAATTCGTTTTATTAGTAGTTTTTCAAATTTTCATTATGAATTTATTAGTATAGTATCCTAATTCACCGGAATTGAGTCAAGGTCATGCAGTTAACTGCAATCTATGACCTGAGCAAAATAATGTTTGAAGTTTGAATACATATTAGAGATTCCAAAGAAGCTTGGAAATGGCGATAATTTTAGTACAACATTTTTCAACTGTTTGAAACTTACTGATAGTGATAATATATTTTAAGAGCTTGAGTAAACGAATCGAACTTCATCGATTATATAAAAATACAGGTAGAGATACGTGGAAAACTAACAGCCAAACAACTGTTAGCTATCACTGTTTTACGCCCTCTTCAAAAAAAGTTGAGGTTTTTTCCATATAGATTTGAGGTAGAAACACTAGAATCGATAATGAAACTGGTAACTGGACTAACCATGTTAGTTGTAGAATACAGTCTAACAGAATGAAGTAGAGTTTTATATTAAATAGACCAAATGGTATGTTCAATTCAAATATTGAAGAGAACCAACCTTCCACTTCAAACTATTATGCATTCAATCTGTGACAAAACACCAAATAAACAACATTTAAAACAAATTCAAAAACTAACCACGTCAACCTGTCGCACTAACGAAGCATCAAGTTAACCTTCAATATAATTAACGAAAAATCCATATGCACTTGACCTCAATATTGCATGGATTCAGTTACCAAATACTTCGTTGAATGAGCAATAAAAGCTACAAAGCAAGCAACACAATTGTACCACATCAAAGGTATTACAAGCCAAGCAAAAGGTTATGGTGTATGGAGAAGTATGTGGGATATTCAGGCATGGTGATGTTGGTTGTGAAATGTTGCGAATGTTGATAGAAAACAGAAATACAACTTTAACATCATTTATTAGAGACAGACAGATTGAGAGAATCCAGGGGAAGTTTCTAAACTGACGTTTTTATACACATTGAAATAACAATTGAGAACACTGAATGATAATATATGCAGGTATGCTCAATCCAGAAAAAGATATTAGTATATTTAGACAGCAATTGAAAACCAAGATGCTAATTTGAATTACAGGTACATATTTATCTTTCACGACCATTTGGCTTTACTCATACAAATAACAAATTTAAAAACATCTTTCACTGGATTGATAAAAAATGATCAATTTTTCGTGAGGATTGTCGGAAGTTTCAGATATTTCCTCTCCATGCCAATAATCGCCAACTCTACTGAAAAACTAAATAACTCCTAACACAAATTTCAAAACGGCTACACAATTATAAACAGATAAAATACGGGCGTTATTACGTTTCATCTATCGGAGGGGGATGGGCTTAGTTCAAGCCGACTCAAATCGATATGTCAGAGTGACAAGACAATGATTCTTCATCGGCTTGTCATTTCTTTGCAGACTTACCTAGTGGCACTGCCTTGAGATCCTGGGAACGAACCAGATCCTCGTTTGGATATCGAATTCTTGGCATTCGTCAACGGGACAGCAAATCCTGATAATTTACTTGTACTCTACAAAATTCAAGATTTATAAATCATTACAAAAATGAAATACACAATCTGATTCATGTGTCTTGAGAAAATATTCATTGAATAGCAAGATACAGGAGGAATTGAGAAGTTATAATTTTATATCATTATACATCATATTTATTCGATTTGAAGGAGAATGTGAATTCTCAATTTCAGAGGATTTTTATTTTCATGTTGTCCTTCTGGATGTTCAACAGATATAATTCAATGTTCAGCGTGGCAAATAGCTAGGAAAGCAGTTGTTTTCTGTTGAGTATTCAGAATGATATCATGTACATACATATATGTTTTTATCTGGAAGAGAATGCAAATTCTCAACTTCAGAAGATTTTATTTTCAAATTCTTATCATGTGTGTTCAATAGATATAATGCAATGTTCGTCATGGCATGTACCCAGGAAATTAGTTATTGTTTCCTGTTGAATAAACCGAGAAAGAATTATTATTTTCATCACATGCATGCATACAGGGTGTTTCATAATTGAATGCTGATCCTGAAGGGCGATAATCCTTGGATGATTTTAAGAAAAATTCTTCATGTGAACATAGGTCCGTAACAGCTTCGTTTCTGAGATACAGGATGTTGAAATTTAACAAAAAATCAGTTATTCCCCAATATCTCTGAAACCGCTCTGGCTTTTTTCTTCATTAGAAAAACTTGAAAATAGTTACCATACAATTATAAAAATATTGCTCAGATCTTTTGGTTACCAGAATTGTGAAATTATGACTAAGAGTAAAAATCGAATAGGGACAAGCAAATGAATGCATTTTATTTTCTAACTCAAAAACCGTTCGCCGGACGAAAAAAAGACAGGAGACCATTTTTATGAGAAGATAGAAGATAATTACAAAAATAATATTTATTTGGAAAAAAGACAGTGGCGTATCATTATTTTGATGAAAAATATGACAGGGTATGTTAACAGGGATGCTACTGATGGAAATTAAAAAATCCTTCATTATGGAAAAAATATATTTCTATTCATACTTGGCATGTACCAAAATTGAAGAAAAAAGCCAGAGCGATTTCAGAGATATTGGGGAATAACTGATTTTTTTGTTAAATTTCAACATCCTGTATCTCAGAAACGAAGCTGTTACGGACCTATGTTCACATGAAGAATTTTTCTTAAAATCATCCAAGGATTATCACCCTTTAGGATCAGCATTCAATTATGAAACACCCTGTATATATCCATTTTTTCATTTTTATAATGTCTGAGAATATTCCTGTTCAATGCTTGATAATGTTGTGCTCTGAAGCTATAGTGAAGGAAAAAATTATATCACCTTGAAGAGAAATTTTTTAGACTTCTCAATATCTATAACACTAATCCATTTCAAGGGAAAATATTTTGCTTTTAATAAAAATATCTTATTGGATCTCAGAAATCCTCGGAAACTATTCAAGTAACCTTAAATATCGTTGCTTCCTATATTCGCCATAGAAAATAACACGTCGCTCCAACTGGCGGCAACAACTTGAACACTTCTGAACGGTTTGTTTTGATGATGTGACCAATGAGCACAAACAAAAAACAAATGTGAACCAATGAAAACAAAGTGAACAGGCCGCTTTCACAGCTTTCAAGAACTCCGACAGGTGGCTTATTTTCTATCGCGAATAGAAACATTATCATTCGATTTCTGCTTGACGCAAAATCTGCTAAGAAATTGAAATTTGAATCAAGGAAATAAAAGGAGATTTTTGTGATAATTCACGCATTCAGAATGAAGTCAAGTTTAAATAACAACCTGTAGAACTTGAATAGAATATGTTGTGAGAATTATGACCAATAACACACCTTCTAAAAGATACAGGGTGATCTATATAGGAAATGAAAGAATTATTCAGTGGGCTCCCCCTACCGAATGAAGACATTAATTCAAATTAGAGAACAAAATACAAAAATCAAAAATAAAATATCGTTTTTGTAACAATCCGCCGCCATGACGTTAATCTTTCTATCAATACTCAAGACACACTCGTACATAGATGACCCTATCACTGTTTTCGAAATTGATGAAGTAATAATTTAGAATAATAATTGAATATCTTGAGAAAATACAAACCTTCACACTTTTTATTTTAACACACTCTTGCATATTGTCTTTACATGTATTCTGATGTACAGTTGTACCACAACCTGAAAATCATTCATTAGAATCTCCATTCATTTTATCAATTCAAAATACCGTGCAACTTGAACTCACTTTCACAGTAAAGGGCAGGTTTATTGCTTAACGGTTTGGTGCAGACATCACAGACTTGAGATGTGCCATAACATCCGGATACCCACTGATGAGTATTTTTTTTTGTCTTATCCTAGAACAAAAGTCAACATTCATCGACCGTTAGAAAACTGTCAAGGGAGTTTCACCTTCTTTTTCCTGAAGAACAAGCTTCCTCTTTTCCTTCTCTTTTCTGAATGGCGATCGTAAGGAACACTGAAAATACCGTAGAAGTAAATATACTATACAATATCACTTGCAAAATTAATAAGCTGGTAATGGTGAGGGATGATCCAATGATATTTATACTACTCGAAGAGAATGTACAGGGTGATTCAGGTTTCGAGGTAAATACTGAAATGGGTGATAGATATCATCATTTCAATTAAAAAAGTTCATATTAACATGAGTCGGATCTCGATCAATAGCGGATCTACAGATCTTGCTCACTTTTGAAGATATCAATTTGAAATTTGATGTTAATACTTTCTGGGAATTCGTCATTTTAAGCATTTGAGAGATTTTTTAAATCTACAGGTTGATACGTTTTTGGAGGTGTAGGCTTCTTCTGACATTTTCTAGTTATCAAATAGAGTTATCGTTCAATTTAGAGTATTTTTTGCTTCTCGATTTTTTTCGAGAAACGATCCGTTTTCGAGATAAATAAGTAAATCGTTCTGAAACATGTTAATTTTAACTATTTTCTTCCTCAAAAGTTGAATGCTTTTATTTTTTTATTTTTTTAAAATGATATTGAAAAAGATATTGGATGAGGAATATGGACAACTGGATGGCGTCGTTGGATTGGTCGGTTAAAAGCAACCTGACTTTTTACCCTCTGTATCCTCTCTACTGATTCAGATTGTAATTTGGTACATTTTATTACATGCAGCGAATCATAATAGGCAAAATGAACATGTTATTACACGGATGTGCTTATTCATCATTAAAATGGTGCGTTCCTTGAAAAAAATTGAGATGCAGATAGTCTTTAAATTAAACGATCCACCCTTTTTGATAACCGGAAAAGTTTGGGGGGAATAAAGAAGCCTCTACCCTCAAAATCGTATCACCCTGTGCATTTTAATGATCTTTGAAATTCTTCATATGATGATCATCTAGAAAGTATTGACCACAACAAAATTAGAATTGAAAATTGATATCTTCAGAAGTGAGCGAGGTAAATCAATACATAGAAAAAAATAATTAAACTTGACCCCTTGTATCTCCGCTACTGATCGAGATCGGACACAAATTTATACACACTTTTTTGGTCAAAATGATGAGATCTATCATATAGATCATAGATTATATCTATCAACTAGTTAGCCAAATTTATTTCATGCACTGAAATCGATGCAATATATATAACGTCAATTGACAAATTAAATAGTCCTAACTCAGATGACAAGAAAAGATTGGTGTGAATGAAAAATCAGAATTGCCAAGAGCTGACTCATCATAAGCATCACTTCCGTTTGGAAACTTATGAAAAATTTGCAGTTTCAAAAGTATTCACGAAAGTTGCACTGAATAATTCATTGTTTGGACCAAGAATACGTCACTGAAACATTATTTATAATAGTGCATTATTTCTCAAAACAAGCCTTATGGGTCCTTAACAACAAGAATGTTCTACGGAGTATGAAGTAATTAAAGGAGTAGAATATGGAGCAATCGTAGCATTGTATAAATACTTCTACATGAAGATGATCAACATAAATGGGCGCATTATGAAATAATACCCAGTGTGTCTCAATATGCAATTATTTCTTAATTGTTCCTCTGTAACTTCGTTCACATGAGTCACACTGTATGAGTTTGATATGCCATGCAGAAGTATTAGGAAATAAAATTTACAAGGGAAGAAGTGCTATTACATAGTAACACAGTAAGCTTGGCAACCAAGAATTGACAGATGTCCGTCACCGATAATCAGTTGGAAACTATTCTTACGAAAACATAAATATATTAGTCAGTAGGAACTTCAAAGACCATTGTTTACACTATGGAACTTGACCTCATGGACAAACCAGCAGTGCTAACTGCTATCATCTGAGATGATTCGACTTCACCGACCGACACATGGATACTCAAGGTGACTCATGGTAGATACAGGCTATATTCCGAATTCAACTGACAGTATCCGAAATCGAAAAATGCTTGTGAGCAGATATACTATTCATTCCAAATATTTCGACTCAACATTCTGCTGAAATTGCTGAGTATCAAAAGGTAGTGTGGCTTCAGTAAACTGTCATTATCTTAAAGGGGGAAAGAATGTAACATTTATTTCCGTTGTTAGTTATATTATTCTCAATATCAGAAAATACCCGTTATTGAAATAATGAACGCTGAGAATAATATGGAGTATGAAGTAGAAGAGGTAACGAAAAAAGAAGCAGCATTGGGTAAATAAATATCTGAATAAACCTGAAATGTCTCCTAAATTCATCATCATTAATAGGCCTGTTCGTTTGTAATGCTAAACTTGCTAAGGTTGATTTTTTTTTCCATAGTTATATCTGTTCATAGCATGATGTAAACAGAGAAAGTCATGGAAAAAAATCAAGTTTAGCAGGTAGAGCAAGCACAAACGAACAGGCCTAATGCCATATTACATAAATGTCCAAGTATTCTTCATCACTCGAGCTAGAATCGTCATCGTCAACAATCGAAGGAACTATGAAAGCTACAAGAACCGATTGCTCTTCCATGTTAAATATTAAATTTTCAAAACGTATGTCAACCAGGAGGCTAAATTGACTAGTTCAGATAAACGAGAAACTGATGAAAACCATGAAAACGTGTTCCGAATTACAGCACTGTATTTTTCATTTTATATTTCGGAACACAGATTTTCAGCAGAGTTAGTGGATCAACTGACAGTACTGACCAGTTGAATTCGGAATATAGCCACAATCTCCTTTCGGGTTGCAAACTCTCCCAATTTTGGCAGGAGTCTTCCGTTTTCCAATCGTACCTCCCGCAGAGCACCCAAAAACTCCCGCTTTTCAGTAAAGCAGTTTTTATACCTCAATTCCAACATCAAGTATTTCACATTAGGTCAACACTGGGTTCTCTATTCCCAAAAATAGAATGTATCTAATTTGTATTTAATCTCTTCAGTTGTGCTATTTCTTCCATATTCAAATGCAATAAGCAAACGACTGTAAGTCGGGCGGAGTAGCGTGATGGAAAAGGCAAACAAGTTCAACGCTATTTAGGAATTTGAAAAAAACAACTACACCGAATTCGATTCATTCATAGGCGAAAAGATTCAAACTATTCATCTACCTGCTTTTTGTAAAACCAATAGTGTTGCAACTCAGAATCTTTGTTCAATTTAACCTAACCTGACCTTGAAAAATTCAAAATATTAGCCTTCAGGTCAGTTTTTGAGGTTTTCACCTCCCGTTACCTCCCACTTTCAGACTTTTCAGATTTATCAACGCTAACCCTATGTCTCTTTTATTCTCTTTTCTATTGATTCCGGATGAATGGATATCTAGAGGACTATCAATGCATGAATACGATTCTTTCTTTAGGATTTACTGATGACCTAGTTCGAAAAAAGAAGATGATTAGAAGAACCTACTCAACCTCAAAGAGAGTGAGTAAGATATATGACAGGAACTAAATGCGCACGCTCTAAGAGGTCCGAATTGAATTCACGATTTTTGTGTTCTGTGTCATCAAAATAATGTTAGACTGGAAAAATTCCGATTGAATCTCTTCTGGTCCGGAATTCGGACGAATAATTAACATTGAAACGATTTTTTAACTCAAACTCAAATGATACCAAAATGGTACTCCTGACTCCTAATTTATAGATACCATAACGCATATCGCCATAAGCCATTATGTTCTTTTTTCTTTGCTTACCTGCCATGTGGCAAGCATTTATCCACGATTTTTCCATTTAATCAATAAATGTCAAATTTTATATGAAAACTCTCTTGACTCTTTATTTGGGGATGAATGTGGTTGGGTGGTGAAATGATCAAAACCTCTCGTCAAAAAGCCAAGCGAGTAGCTAAGTTACGACCTATCGGAGGGTCGACAATATTATCAATAAATAATAATCGAGTTTTATGATGCATTGACCAACTATATGGTATCATTAGATCAAGTAGAAAAAATTCTCAATTAAATAAGGCTTTCCAATTTGAAACCGGAAGTTGAAGTCATTTTGGAAAAATTGGAAGTTGAAAAAATATGTCAAAAAGTACCTCTCAGTGAGTATATCCAATGTATAAAAAGAAGAAGGGTGTGCCATGAATTTATGTCACAATGACGGTAGACTGTTCCAAATAGTTCATCATCAAGTTATGTCCAATTCAAAGAGACAAATAGAATTCAGTAGATAACATGAGCGATTCTTGGTGCACAATGCTAATCGTACGTACGTAGTACCTACCTTCAGCCAAGCATGCATTTACTTACTGGTGCAAAAGTGCAATGGAGTGGGGGTCATAGTGGGCGTGTCCTAATCGGCTACCTTCCTCTTCCGTCTCGCTCTCGGTTCCGCTGGGACGGCCCCTAGACACCAAGCTAAGCACATGCAACTACACTCTTCTAGCTAACAATTTCACAGTGGCAACAAATCTATAGTGATCCGATGGCATCATCAGAATTTTTCTTAAGAAATATGGTGTGATCAAGATAGTAAAATTATCTCAAAAGTGAATATTAGCATATCATTAAGGAATACCCTGTATAAGTATCCAGTGTCCAATCCACTGCCGAAATACAAATTCGAAAACATATTGTTCTTGATTATCAACACAGATATTTCAACTAATCAAAAACGTGTATTTTGAAATGAATGAAATAATCGATGAAATCCATATTTTCGATTTAAATGCAGATTCCGTAAATTAAAATCCCAACAGTGAAACGACGCAGTGTATGTTTGGTTCCCTATACCACAATTGTTGGTTAATAGACAAACGATTGTTAATAAGAGTAATTAACGATCAATTTCGACAGAAAAGTTTATATTTCATACCATGTCACCGATTTATTGCCACTGATCACAAAATGTCATAAAAAAACTCGACATTTGGGTGGTATAATCATTATGCCCATTCTAAAAATTGCACGAAAACAAGAATCGGTTAAAAAACATTCAATGTCGATAAGTGGAAGGAGTTATTGGTTCATGCCAATAACAAAATATCATTATAAAAGACAAAAAATGTGCTATTATTCGAAAATTTTTCAATTAAAAACATTAAGCAATTAATTAAAAAAAGGGCTCAAAAAAAGTAACAACATATCAAATATCACTCACAGTGGTAAAGTAGGTTGGGCCCCAGCCAAGACAGGCTCAGGTGCCAAATCTCTGACAGCAATAATCGAAGGAGTCGATATCGACTTTTGGAGTGGCAATCTAGCAGGAAGTAGCCTCAACTGTTCAGCCTCCCTTTTGGCCTTAAGTTTGTTGAAATCATTCTATAAAAATAAACTTAGATGATATCGAAAGTACACAAGGCCTACATTATTTCGTTTTGATTTGTTTCCATCTGAGTTCACTATACCTGAAGGTCAGCTTCGTTCAAGGAGTGTGTACTGGCACCTCCATTACTGCTTCTAGTTCCTCGATGTCTCAACACAATTGGGGCATCAGGTCCCAACAGTCTTATAGTGCTGCCATCTACGTTGTCTATCAGTGAGGATTCGTCTGCTTCAGATTCCATGCTGCTCAAAGAAATACTGAAAAGAAAGGCGCAGTTGGTCTTCTTGAGTTCATAATCGGGTCGATTTAGTTTGCAAACAGCAATATAGTTGTAGAGAAGATATTGCTATCACAGCAAGATTTAAGAACGTAGAATGGGCTAGTGGACTTTGTTTTAATAGAATCCAGGGTTGGAATAAGTCATGAGTTTTATAAAAAAGTAAAAAAAGTCTGACTTTTTGAATTAATTCGGACTTTTTTGAATTAATTCATTTGAGAACAAATCAAATTCTATTCACTTGAACAAAATACAAGAACATCGCAAAAACTAAGTTTTATTTCCGTTGAAAATCTCAAAGCATGACAATAAATACTTAAAATATGCCATTTTTGCAATATGAACTGAGACTATTGATTGAATGAAAAATGATGTTTATGCAACTTGGATTACTCATTCACAATCTTCATTATAGAGGCGCTTTACAGTTATTAAATTAAACAATTTTTCGATGCATTGCAAGAAATGAGTCCGGACATATTTATTCATATTGTGGTAATTTGTTTTACTGGTGCAATTCTAGTGGTGACATGTTAGATTTTCGGAATTTCACGCATCATTAGATACACATTGGATCTTACTTTTCTTGCCTTTCTCATGGTTTCTTCTACCCAACTCTTGACCCAACTCAAAACTCGGTGAGAAGTAATACACAGAATCTATGACAAAAAGACATTGCAAGCCGGTAATTCCGATTCAGTGTTGAAAAGCCTACATATTATTTTTTCCGGAAATATGAATTGGAGCAATCAATTGCATGCAATGAAATATTGTAAACTGTAAAGCGGCTCTAAGAAAATTTAGTTTTCCACGTGTGGTGCTTCACGATTGTCAGTTGTCAGATGCCATAGGATATTTCATTTTAAACTAGTTTAAATTGAAGGTAATAATGCGATTTGTTCCCATTTGATGAATTTTGAATTAATTCACGACTTATTTGAAAAAAGTCATTTGAATTAAATCACGATTTAAATCACTGACTTAATTCATATGAATTAATTCGTGCCAACCCTGATAGAATCATCACTCAATTACATTTAAATTCCACATTTTGTTAAAATCTTTCGGTCGATTTTAAGGTGCTAAAATCATCAATATTGTCGGTAATTTTTAAACGTCTGAAAATTTACCGGAAATAAAAACTGACTTCGTAAGTAGGGGGATTTCACGCAGTATGCGTTTCAATACAATCTCATTCATGCTGTCTGTGTTCCAAAACACATTGCTTATGAGTTCGAGTTAATAAAAATTACATTCATTCATTCATTCATTCATTAATTCTAGACGACATACGGTCCGGTACACATAACGCAGGACTGTGGGCGTTGTCTTGTCATTTCTCAGCATTCAGCACAGCATTTCCTCTATAGCCAATATAAACATGTTTTGTTAAGGAGTATGAGCATTTTGACAAGCTGTTTGCTCTAAAAAGTCACAAATTAATACTATAATATCATGGCATCTTCCTATTAGGTCGAATGAAATATTTCATTTGGATGTAGTTTTATTCAACTTTTTGATAACTTGATTATAATTGGTGATCTGGCAACCTTGCTTTATGATTGGGAATGGAAGATTATCTAACCAATAATGAAATAACATAAGAACTGACGTCACCATACATCCGAGGTATTCGAGAACATGGCCAAATGGCGGCCATGACAGCACGTTTGAAATGAGCTTTATAATTAAAAAATTCCAAACAACGGATAGACACATTATTTACATCAAAAACGCGTAAGAAATGCTTCAAAAATTAATTCAGGTCCGTATGGACACAGTAATTGAATACCAATTGTTCACTACCAGTACACTAGTCCATTCCGATCATCGATTTTGGACAATGTGTTGTGACTTTCTGTTGTTTCCTTGTTTTTCCATTATAATTCCTTCCATATGTTAGAAAATTTAGGATAGGTGATTCCAGCATATTAGTATCAGTAGATTTTTGTAAATCTCATCATTTTGCATGAATCAGTCTACTATGAGTAGGACAATGAATGAAGTCAACACACTCTTATTGATAATTATCAAATATGTTAGCACAATATATTGAATTCCTCACAAGTGAATTGATAAGAAGGTTTAGTTTCATAGGACAAACCTACATAACTATAACATGACCAATACCAAATACTAGCCTTGCAGTTTCCGTTGCAATTGAGCATTGTCTTAGATAATCTCATTGAATAGGTCATATATTTTTATTATGCAAAACTTATTTCTTATCAATAAGATTACGAAGAGTTTTTTAATTTATTTGCAAAAACAATAACTGAATACATACCTCCTTTGGCGAGTATTCTTGATCTTGTCCTTGTTTCCAGTTAGATCCTCTAGGGCAGTCCATGACCTTCTTCTATGGGTTTCTGGTTGACATAACCAATCTTGAGTACCTGTATGATTAGTTTTTCATGAGAATGTTTATTTTGTTTGTTTCTATTTTGTTGGAAATGGGTTACTTTTCTGTTTACTAAAAGTACATATTGTTTGATGTCATTGGTTCATTTCATTATCCTGTCTTGGAATTCATATAGCATTAAATAGATCTGAATTTTTTACAAGGTATTTAATGATAAAATACAAATCGCACTGGCAACCCTGGTCCGCGCGGAAGGTGAGTTGACAACAACTGTCATTTGCTATTGGCAAATCAATTATTCACGAAATCCGATAGATTTAACGTGTGAATAGGACCGTGATGTAGATATGTGTTTGAGGTCGACGAAAAAATTCAATATGCACCTCGGCGAAAAACTGTCTATTGTCCCGCCTGATTCCTAGCCTAGGCTACAGAGACCGCCAAGTACTCCGCCTCCTCATAGAAGTACTAACAGGACACAACAGGCTAGGCAGACACCTATCACTTATAAGAATAGAGGACAACCCCACTTACCGCAGAAACGTCACTCCATTTTCTCGGCGAGTGCTATGCGTACGGAAGGCTGATTTGAAATCTTTGGAGTAGACAAACTCCAACAGGAGGAGTTGATTATATTAGAGTGAACGAACATACTGGCCTTCATCAGAAGGTCAGGGAGATTCGTGGAGGAAATCTAGGTGAAGGAAGCGTAGATATGTGGAGAGCAGGGGTTTGCAAAAAGGGCCAATCGGGGCCTACTTGCTTGGCTACAGCCTCCACACCTACTACTACTACCCCTAGCCTAGGCTATCAATTTGCAGATAGACAATTTTTCGTCCTTGGTACATAAATAACTATTTTATATGTATTCATGTATCCCTATTATAAACAGAAATGTTTCTTGGAGTAATAAAGACAATCCATCAAAAAAAGTCTCGATTTAATACAAAAAATTCGAGCTGACCAACAATATCAGTTTTTTTTTCCAAAACCATTGTGATTTTCTCAAGTCTGATCTACTCTCACTCGATAAGCAGACTAGCGACAGTAGCGACTTACCGCTCCCTTTCCTGCTGGGCGGCTGATGTAGCGGTGACGAGCCCAGAGAACCTCCGATGAAGTCGAGCTCCTGCGCAGACTCGTTGAGAGAGGGGCAACTGGCGCTGAGTCTGGCCACCTGAGCTAGCAGCGGGTTCAGGGCGAACGCAGCGAAGTCCCTCGAATTCGCACCGTAGCTGCCTGACAAAATACAACAGGTATTCAAAAATGGTGTATCAATAACTGAATTAACGATATATTTGAATGCATTGAGATTCATTACATTGAATGTGTATGAATTCATCTCATAATGGTGAACAAAGATGATAATTTAATTCATCTATTCCGTTTATAAATTATGATATGTTTCTAGTTCATATTTCGGTTCGCACCGTAGCTGCCTGACAAAATACAACAGGTACTCAAAAACGGTGTTACAATAACACCAAATTAAACTATATTTGAATGCATAGAGATTCATAAAATTAAATAAGTATGAAATCATCTCATAATGGAGAACAAAGATGAAAATTTAATTCATCTATTCCGTTCAGAAATTATGATTTTTTTCGAGTTCATATTTCAATTCGCCCCGTAGCTGCCTGACGAAATACAACAGGTACTAAGAACAACAATATAATCAACAGTATATTTGAATTCAATGAAATTCATAGTTTTATTATCAGAACTTCGAACATTATAGGGACTCATTTTCGTAAGCTCCGAGAGATAAAAAAAATGTTTCGCAACTTATCAAATATAATAATCCATATGATATGGCATCATCATATTCCTACAGTTATGTTTTTTTTTAAATGCATTAATTTGATGATATCAAATCGTTTTTAATGGAAGATCTACCGACACACACATGAATTTTATAGACTAATTATTCGGACATTAAGGTAGTTGAAAAGCGACTGAATATGAATGAAAATCAAGATTTGGCCGAGATATCATTGTTTTCATGCACTCTGTGAATTATAGCGTGAAATTATGTAAGAATGATACTGATGGATCTTCGACTTTGTTCCGGTGTCGGGAAAAGAATATTAAATATCAAACTTCAGTTTTACAAAGTTTCAGAAACTGCTACAAATAAACCACAAAAGCTTATGGATTTAGGTTGAGACTTCATATAGGATATTTTGCTCCCTCAACCCAGCACACAGACATTTCTGTAGAATTGAGACATAAAATAATATTTTAGTACGGTACTTACTAGCTACTTCACAATCACGAAAATTAAACTTTTGATATGCTGTAAAATATGTTTACAAATATTAACACAGGTTGGTGAAATAGGTGTGATTGATCGAGGTCTACAAAAAAGTAAATGTTTTCTTAGAAATTCTCAATATAATGTATAACAAACGAGATTTTATATGAGAAACCATCATCTATTAATGAGAAGACATAAAATATTATGGAAAGGTGACAAATGAAATAAGTACTTATTTTCTCTGAAACCGCTGGCCTTACATAAATTGAGAGTATCTATCTAAAAATATGCTCGAAAAAAATATACACCTAATAAGGAATCGAGAAAATAAAAACTTAGAATCTTCAGTATCATTCATAATAATAATATGTGATAGCTTTGATTATTTAAACTGACAAGACGATCCACCTTCATGTAAAATGTTGAAGCAAATTTGGCCTTAGTTCTTGGCTGGTTCGTAGGCGGCGCTAGTGAAACTAGACATCTATCTGCAAGTTGCTGAACTATCTAGGGAAGCAGGAAAGTCACTAAATTTGATATTCTGAAGGCTTTTGAAAAAAATATGTTAATGTGGCTCTGATGCGACATTCCTTCTTGCATAAAACATCTAAAAATAAACTTTAAACATACTCTGCATTACCGATGTCTACCCTTCGCTACTCAACAAAAAGTAGTTCATCTTGTTGTTGTGAATAGGTAAGTATAGGTACTGCATCAGTTATGACGTTATGTCATCATGAGAACAAGTTGTTTTTGTTTTGATTATTATGGAAATGAGATCAGCGATCAGCAGTGGGCTCGAGATCGGACACTTACCCCCATCCTTTCTTATATTTCACGACGAGGAATATCCTGGCGGATGTAGGATTGAGAGATTTGCGCTTGGGATTGAGATATTTTTGCTTGGAATTGAGAAATTGTCAAGATATTCGATAAGAGATTTATGAAATCTCAAGAATCCAGCTGTGGATTGACACATTATTATCACAGATTGTCAGATTCGAAGAGAAATTTACGGATTCGATGAGATATTCGTGGATTTCCAAGATTGAAGCTTGGATTGATGAGATTTCCAAGATTCGAAACGGATTGGAAAGAAAGTGTACACCAGATTGTCAGAGTGAGACACCCCTCGCTAAATCCAATATTTTTAAGGTTTTTTTTTTTTAGGTAGGGATTTTTTCTCAATGTAGGGAATATTTATAGGTTCGTGTAGGGAAAACGTATTCGAAAGGTTGGCATCACTTCTCTTCATCTGTCGTCACTCACTCTGCACGGTGACGTTCCTCATGTGCTGCACGCTCTCGTGCAGCTCGCGCACCTGCTGCAGACTGTCCTCCAGCACGCTGTACGTCTTGTTGGCGGGCGAGTGCGGCGTCACGCTGATGGTGGGCAGCGGCGCGCCCATGCCGCCACCCCCGCCCGGCCGGGGCAGCATCTCGGTGGGCGGCAGCCGGTGGTAGTCGGTGACGACGTCCTCGTCGCTGTCGGCCGGGTCGTCGTCGTCTTCTTCTTCGCCGCCGCTATGGCCGCATTCATCTGCAAAGAAACAGAAGAGGAGGATTAGTGGAATGGAGGAGAGATGAAGTTTTTATGGGAGCACGAAAAAAAAAAAGTTTTTTTGCACCAACAATATTATTTTGAATCTTCTGAAGTAGTTGGTACTTGCATGTGTTCGAGAGAATATCGAGAGGGGCTATCACAGCCAGCAAATCACTATATGCATTGACAGCCAGGCGGCGATTAAGGCGCTCACCTGGTATAGGGTGTCCTCCGCCTTGGTGTCAGAGTGCATAGATAGCCTACAAAGGCTGTCAGCAACGAACAAAGTATGTCTTTTGTGGGTCCCTGGACACTCAGGGGTACCAGGTAACGAAATGGCCGATGGTCTGGCCAGAAAGGGGGCAAAGGGTTCAGTGATTGGCCCAGAGCCAATCTTAGGGGTCACTCGATCCTGGAGCAACTTCAGGATGAAGGAAATCCTGACGGAAAGGTTTCAGGACAGCTGGAAAGAGGCTCCTGGAATGAGGCAGTCCAAACTCCATATAGGAAACCCGTCACGAAGACAGACCAATGCCCTCTTGGCTTTGAACAGGAAGGAGCTGAAACTGGTGGTGGGCCTTCTGACAGGGCACTGCCACTTGAACAAACATCTCAGCACGATCGGGATTGTGGAGGATCCTGAATGCAGATGGTGCCTAGAGGATGAAGAGACTTCTACTCACATCCTCACTGAATGCCCGTCAGTCATAGTACTTATAAAGTTGATCTACAAAGAAAAATTGTTCTTACTCAATATCTAGCAAAAATGGTTACACTAATGAGTGGAAAATGACAATAAGTTATACAATTCATAATAGTGTAACCATTTTTACTAGATGTTAAGTTAGAACAATTTCTCTTTGACAAACTTTATTAAAACTATGATTGATGATGACCATTTGAATGGTCGAAACATGTCCCAATCAAAAGAAATAAATATATTTTTATTCCAAATAAGTGACAAATTCAAAATGACAAAATATTTTGATTGAAATATTTGCTAACTTGGATAAAGTTTAATTTCATTCAATATTCATAGTCGACATAAAACAAATTTTGTTGGTCCAACTATCATCTCATTGTCCAATCAATCATATGCATCTTGTCTATTTGACGAAATTAGATTAATTTTGACAAAGATTTAACGAAGAAGGGTGATTGACTATGGATGTCACGCTTTTAACACTCAATATCTCGAAAACTAATCAAGATATTGGAAACACCAAAACAAAATCTTGAATCAGATGTTGTTCTCTTTCGAATGATGCCCTCCAAATATTATATCCCCATCCCATATACGGGGGGGGGGGGGTGAAAATGTTTAATTTTTTCAATGGAACAGCCTATATTTTATTGCATATTATAAAAGAGTGAATTTTCCTGATTTCAAACATATATAATTTTCATACATTCCATGGAGTAATACTGGGTGAATTGAATAAGGAATAAAACTTGAGATTAATCGTTATTTTTGTATCTAGTGCGCAAAATACTACTTGGTGATCGAGAAATAATTTTTTTTAGCGACGCGCAGTCGAGTTAAAAATGTATTCAAGATGACCAAAGTATTTCGCGCACGAGTTGCCACCAATTTTTTTTTCTACAAACGTCAAAAAACATAGTTCTGAAGTAGTAATATGCTTAGATCAATATTGTTGTCATGACAATCAAAACACAAATAATCAGTTAGTGTGATTGCGATGAAAAACTTCCAGCTACAGATGCGATACAAATGGAAAGGTATGAGAAGCACTACACGGAATTTATTTAATGGTGCAATAGTAAAAAAGTTAAAACACCAAATAAAAAATGAGTATTTTTGGCTCATTTACTAGAAATGTCTGAAACCTAAAGGCCAACCACCATGGGCATGCTGGCTTCCGCAATAAGCTTACCTACATAATACTTTAAACAGTGCACACAATAGATATATCACTAATTATTAGAAGATAGAGAATATATCACAATCGTTAGTTGTTCCTATTTGTAGGAATAATTGATTGAACAAATCAATCTTGTAGAAAAAATATCGTTCCTAACTCATGCGGAAAGTGTCTTTCCTGCACTCAACTGCTTGCCCGTTAACGGCATTCGCGTGCGGGAAAGTACGACTTTCCACACTTGTTAGGAAAATCAATATTTATATTTCGATCAAACTGCCAATGTGGAAGCGAAATACAAAATCGAAATCACAGCATATTTAGGAGTCTATATAGCAGCCAATCTACAGCTGAAACACAAAAACGAAAACATCATGTTTTCGATTATCAACACAGATATTTCAACCAATCAAAAACGTGTATTTTGAAATCTGTGGAATAATCCGCCGAATTAATCTTCAATCTTTCAATTCGCCCATTCGGATCATTACGGATTGGGTTCCAGAGCGTCCAGACTATAGGCAATGAGTTTCCAGGAGATATTCGGAGGAAATTCGAACCGGAGACGAAAATCGATTGCCCGCATCGCTTTGAAGGGAGCGACATAATTAGGCTAATTGAAGTCGACAATTATAATTGCTGGAGATGATTACCGCAATAATTACCGATAAGCAGCTATACTTGTGTTCTTACGTGGGACAGTCTAGGTGGCGCTAGCTACAGTGCCTCGAACATATCATTACACGTCCTTTATAGACGAGCGTCTCCCGACATATCTTGGCACATCCAAGGTCAAATATTGTACTACATAAAGCTAAATATTGGCGTCAATTTTACTTATCTCATCTCGTCATAATTTTGGTACAAGACAAAAAGGACTCTTTAATAAATGTAGCAATAAGGAAAAGTATATTTATTTACAAAGAAAATTAATTAGACATGGGACTATTAATTCTAGTACAAATAAAAAATGTAATGAGTTTCAGGCATATAAATGTTCAATACATCAATAAACTATCGTTATCTAGAACAATATCTGTTATGAATAGGTTATGAAGAAATCCTAAGAATCAGTTTTATCTAAAAGACTACCGATTTTATCTTTTTGCTCAAGAATACTTGGTTTTTTGAATATTAAAGCATCTTTGGTTGTTTCCATCTTAGTAGAAAGTAGACGTATTTGCTTTTCTGTTTTCTCATTAGTATTAATGATTTGCTTTGTTTCAAGATGAATATAGTCTTTCCTTCATTCATTGTGTCTATAATTTTATCGCAATTATTCAGTATATATCGATGTTGTTCTTCAGATAGGGACATTGATGCATCACACATACCTATTATTAGTTCACACCTCCTTCTTATACATTCCATTTCAAATATAAAATTATAAAATATAAACTCAATTGAAAAATATAACTTCTACGCCTTCAACGCGCTAATCGAATCCTCTATATTTTGCACCACTTGACATAAGTGACATAATATGACAAGTCATATTATAGACTGGCCGGTCTCGGCGTGTAATGACCGATTTTTTGCAACGTTTTTTCATTGTATGCAACTTTCAAGTGATATTATCATTATTTACTCCTTTTCGAGGCTTAAAGCGTATTTTTTCTACCAAGATAGTTATCGTCATTTTATGAACCACTAGTCAATCAAGACATAGCCACGCGAGATTCTCAGAAATGGCACTCGAATCTAGTAGGTATTTAACAATAACGACTCGTCACATGTTGTCTTGGTCATGGCTCTTAGAAGTGCTTTCATAGTGACAATACACCATGGTAGTAAAGCATGGTATTACCACGGGACCTTGCATTTGGTGTTACGCCTGTGTTAGGGTTTCAAATACTAATATGTCGGCACTCATTCAATGAAAGGGGGGGAAAAGGCATTCTAACTATCTCTTATGTAACATATTTGTGTTTCATGTTTTTTGTTCAGCTGTTCAACAACATAACAAGCGTGTCCACACCTTTGAAGGGCGATTGAAGGGTGTAAAATAAGACATTCGAAGCACTCTAGCGCTGGTCATTATCAAAACCAGTCGAGATAGGTAGTAAAATTATTTTCTCCGGAAATGGCGGAAGTTTATGATACTACGTTCTTAAATCATGCAGAATGAGGTTATTGATGATGCTCATTGACATTCTAATAATGAAAAAAAAAACATTTTTTGCTTCAATGAAATTAGAAAAAAATATAGAAAATTCTCAGGAGATAAATAGCAACTCGCAAGAACCCTAGGTACTAATGTTAGTTGAATAATTAGGATTCCATATCGACTGCAAATTCATACCGAACATCTCTCAGAGAAGCTATCTTCAAATTTGTTGCATTGATAAATGAATAGTCACTTGCAGTATGGCATTCTGATTTGGGGACACAGTGCAAGATTGTAGATTGTAGACGGGTCGTATAGGCTGGGAGACCTCTCGATCACTGCGACCTAGAAGATCTATTGTGATTACCCTTATCTAGTTTGGGTCCTCTAACCCTAGACTTCTGATGAAGCCTAGAATTTTCCTAACGGTTGAATTTTACACCTCAGCAGGAGTGAGGTAGACCTGTTCTGGGAGATTCAGCCCTTGGCGGACTAATACTTTACATAAGCAAAGTATGTGTTCCGCGGTTAGATCCATTAGAACTTCCTAACCCTATCAGAGTTGACCCTTGAAGAATCGCATCTTCATTTTCATATGAAATTTTGATGGACAGGGCAGATACTGATCACCAACAAGTCTTCGAAAAGAGATAATCTCAGATATATTATGAACATGAAAAAAATCGGTCGCATTGTTGCAAAAGCGGCAAGTGTCAGTCTCCGCCAGGCCTATCTTTTTGAGGTGGTACCTCAGAGGGCAGTGTCCTGTGAGAAAGCCTGTGATAAGCTTTAGCTCTGGTTTGATGAGGCTGAGTAGCTCTTTGGCTCGGTTCTGCGAATGGTTGATGAACCTTTGCGCTTGTCGTTGACCTGGAGTTGCTCTCCAGTAGGAGGACTTCTCAATTTCTTCCCATTTCCTGAGTTCTCCCTTTAGGTGAAATTTGCTCATCCCACCAAAAGGCTCAGGACCAAAGAGTGCAGATACTGCACCTTTATTTGCAAGGTGATCAGCTGCCTCATATCCTTTGATTC